AAAAAAAAAAAAAAAAGTGGATGAGGAAACCCCACATTTTTCTGCAATGGCTATACCAGTATACCCTCTGCCAGCTGATATCTTTTGTCTGGTAGTAGACACCCTAATTACTGTGAGGTTATATCTCAGCATAATTTTGATGTGGATTTTCCTGATAACTGGTAATCACACTGTGACTCTGGTGTAGAGGGAGCTGTATGGACACTGGTCAATACTATAACAACTGTGTGAATGTTTTTATTTTTATTGTTGTTTTGTCCTTGCTTGTTTGTTTGATATGGGTTAACTAGGGTTTTTTCCTGGTTTTGGGGGGGTTTTTTTTGTACCGGGGATTGAACTCAGGACCTTGCACTTGCAAGGCAGGCAGCAGAACCACTGAGCTAAATCCCTGGCCCACCTGTATTCTTTTTTTTTAACTTTAAAAACAATCTTCTGGGTTTTGCTTCTCTATTGGGATTGTTTTGTTATTTTACTTTATTCTTTATCCCTTTTCATTAGCTCCTCTCAGTTAATCATAAAAAGCTCAACTGAGATCTGCATAACTATGTAGAAGTCCATAACAAAACTAAATCAAGACTGTCAAAAGGGAAAGGTGGCTGTTGTAAAACAAGACTTTGAGAGCCTCCAACCAATTTAATACATCGTTTTTGAGATTATGGTAATCCTTATCACCAACACGGCTACAGATTATATGCTATATTTCAGGTGCCAGGAAATATTTAGAAAACATTACTCAACTAAAGTTATTCCACATAATAATACTTTGAGACAGATTCTACTATTACTTTTTAAACATGAAAAAACAGGAGCCCAGCAACCTTAAGCTTAAGGTGAAGTCACTACATAGTAAGTGGCAGAGCCAGGAGTTACAGTGTTGCCCCTATTACTGCGAATGCACATACCACATCACTGAAAATGCAGTGACTGCTCACTTCTGCAGCACTTGGTACACATACTCACACCTGTGCTGTTACCTCATTTCAAGATACAGTGAGACGAAAGGGGGGAATTTGCATCTAAAGATTGCTTTTCACTGAACAGAATAAAACCGTACCATTGACCACAGCTGTTTGTGCTAATTCAGACTTAACCTATTAACAACTATGCGCCTGATTTGTGCACTTTTATGAAAACAGGATTCCTTTTAACATGGTGATTCTGTTTACTACCAAATTTGGGGGGGGGATTCTTTGTTACTTGTTTGGTAATAAATTGACATACATGAAGAGTAGAAAAAAGTCTGTAGAATACTTTCTCATCAGTATACTTCATAAGATATAAAAAGGCTAAATGGCACTTAATCCTAAATGCTGTTGTTTGGGTAAGATCTGTTGCCAAAATTTTATGTGCTGGGGCCGGGGATTTAGTTCAGTGGTTCCGCCACCTGCCTCCCAACCACAGGGTCCCGCGTTCAATCCCTGGTACCAAAAAAAAAAGTTTATGTGCTGTGTGGAGCCTTGGTCTTCAACATGGTAAAGTTGGTGATCCTTTAAAATATGGGGCCCGGCAGGTAAGAGATGATGGGGTCACTGGAAGTGATCCCACTTAAGGGATTAATACTGATCTTGCAGTTAATTCCTTTCTGTATGGGTTGTTATAAAGCAGGGTTACACTACGTGTGTGGCCCCTTCCATATAGGGTTGCTTTTCACCTTACCTCTTCAACGTATTGTGAAACAATCAATGGGGCTGTTGGCAAGGGCTGAAATGATGGAGCCACCTTAAGACTTTTAGCCTCCAAAACTATGTGCAAATTAACTCTGCAGCCTAAATTATTTTTGGTATAAACTCTGCAGCCTAAATTATTTTGCCACAGCAACAGAAAATCAACTATGTTAATTTAAACCACAGTATTTATTAACAGTATATGAACTACCACCCCTAACTCTAGATCCCAATAAGGAAAATTTCTAACATGAAATACTCTTATGTATAAACCCAGTATTTTTGTTTTTTGGTACTGGGGATCGAACTTGGGACCTTGTGCTTTCGAGGCAGACACCGGAACCACTGAGCTAAATCCCCAGCCCTAAACCCAGTATTGTTGAGGAGGCTGTTCCATGATCTTCAGGCTGTGTAGCTGCATTCCAGGCCTCTTCTCACAGATGCAGGCAGCACCTCCCAACTCCCATTACAATAAAAAAAAAAAGCCTCTAGAAACAGTGAGATGTACCCTGCTTGGCAATATCACCATTCATATTTCATTGGGATATTATGAAATATTCTCTATTTTTGATACTATATTTAACATTTGTATTTTAAAACCTAGCTCTCTATTAGATAAAATTGGCATTTTCCTTCACTGCAAATTCTGATACATTATAAATGCATATTTTATTAAAAGCCTTCACAAATTGAGGATATAAATTTATTTTATTCTCACTCTTCACTGATATCACTGCCTGATAAAGGCATTCCCAAATTTGTTCCATTCTTTATATCTCCACATTTAAAAAAAATTCTTCCAAAAACTGACTTGGGGATGAAAGATGACAACACCAAGTTTTCTACTGTATACATTTTCTGATAAAAGAACTGGACTCCTGGTGGCACAATGCAAACAGATAACACACACAAAAAATGGAACACCAGAACTGGTACTTACTTCTCTCTCTCATTAAAAAAAAAAAAAATGGAGGGTACAGGGATACCCTGGAAAGATCTTTGTTCTCTTCATTTGTTTTAACTCACAGCGACCTTTTCTTATTTATCTCCCAAGGTCATCCTGAGAGTCACCTGCTTGTCAGTGCTCAAGGCGAGAAATTATATAGTGAACTGCATGGTCACTGTCTTTATGTTGTCAGGCCTGGACATAATGCTCATCACTGTCCATATTCTCCAAGCAGAGCTCAGTTAACTATTGATGGCCATAGTAAGTTAAAGGTAGAAATGAAGGCTGCATTCCAAACAGAGTAAAATGGTTTTGGGGAGGAGACATAACTAGTTTCTGCAAAGAATATTTTGCCATTATGCATGAGGAGTGATTTCTGAGAAAGTTATTCTATGTTCAAAGTTATTTCCCATGTGAGTTTTTAATGCCTGCTAAGTTACGACATCTGTCAAAAGGTTTTTCCTCTTCAAATACATTCACAGGGCTTCTCCACAGGTGTGGTTATTGCACGTGCAATGCACTGTAACTTCTGCTCAAAGTTCACTCCACATAGATTACATTCATATGGTTTCTACCCAATGTGATTTTTCTTGTGTACAGTGGGGCCTAATGGAAGAAACCTCTCCTATACTGTTGACGTTCATACGGTTTTTGCCCTTTGTGAGAACTCTGATGGACTGTGAGGCTTGACTTCTGCCCGAAGGTTTTCCCACATTCATTACACTCAAAGGGTTTCTCTCCTGTGTGAGTTCTCTGATGCCTACTGAGGTTTGACTTCTGGGAAAAGGTTATTCCACATTGGTTACATTCATAGGGTCTTTTCCCAGTATGGATTATCTCATGTTTACTGAGATAGGACTTCTGGCCAAAGGTTTTTCCACAATCATTACACTCATAGGGTTTCTCCCCAGTGTGAGTCCTCTGATGCTTCCTGATGTAGGACTTTTGGCAAAAGGTTTTACCACATTCATTACACTCATAGGGCTTCTCCCCAGTGTGAGTTCGCTCATGTATGGTGAGTGCTGGCTTATGGTAGAAACTTCTCCTACATTCTTTACATTCATAGGGTTTCTCCCCTGTGTGAATACACTGATGCGTTCTGAGGTTTGACTTCTGGCCAAATGCTTTTCCACATTCGTTACATTCATAGGGTTTCTCTCCTGTGTGAGTTCTCAGGTGACTGGTAAGGTTTGACTTCTGGTGAAATGTCTTCCCACACTCATGACATTCATACGGCTTCTTCCCAGTGTGAATTACCTCATGGATGGTGAGAGTGGACTTCCGACTGAAGGTTTTTCCACATTTATTGCATGCATATGGCTTTTCTCCGGTATGAATTCTCTCATGGACAATAAGGTCTGATTTGTAGCTGAAGGATTTCTCACACTGGTTACATGCATAGCGTTTTTTCCCTGAATGTTTCTTCTGATGTATTATAAGGTCTAATTTAGTAATGAAGGTTTTCTCACATTCAAGACAATCGCAAGATTTCTCCCCTGTGTGTGTCTGATGTTTAGTGAGATCACAGTTTTTATAAAGAGTTTTCCTCCCTGCCTTTACAATGAGAGCTGACTTCTCACATGCTTTCCCAGATTCATTATGCTCCCAGCAGGCCTGTCCCATACAAACCCTTTTATGTGTAATACATTCTTTCAATAATTTTGCTTCCCTGGTGAAGGCTTTCCATTGTCCACTATATTGAAAATCCTGCTGCCCAGTTGGCATCTTGGGATGCGGACTGAAATGCTCAGGACATCTCAGGGTCTTCCCAGTTATGTGACACTGATTAGGTTTCTCTCCAGCATCCATCTCACCAGGCTCACTGGAGAGATGTGTGTTCTGACAAGCATTAAGTTCTTCAGGTTTTAATACTGAATAGCTTCCATCACTTATAGTCAAGTCTGAAATATGACTAGAGCTCAAATCAAAAGTATTTCTTAATTCAACTTGCTCCTCAGTTGTGTTCTTGGTGGTGATTACAACTTGCCACACATGTCTATCTCCACTTTGGTGGGTGGTCTGAATTATGTCATCCATTTTCTGGCCATCTAAAACAAGAAAAATAATGACATGTATCAATGATATCTAAGCATTTTCTATGGAATGCTCATGTTAAAGGAGATTCTCCCTATCTTACTGGGATAAGGTTTTATAAAATTATAATGGTTACAGGTTTACAAGTATATAACTTTTCTTCCTACATAATGTAATAGATTGGACTGACAGGTTTTCTAGTGTTAAATTGCTTTTCTTTGTTTCTTTAACTTTTATTTCATGTGGAAATATTTGGTTAAACTATTTGCCTATTGCCTTCTCATAATTTTCCACTGAATGTTTATCCCATCAGTTGTTTTCTCTGTTTCTCTCTTTTGTTGTTGTTTTGGTTTTTTGAGACAGTCTTGGTAATTCAAGCTGGCTTCGAGCTCATGGCAATTCTCCTGCCTCAGCCTCCCCATGACTTTAGGCACATGCCACATCTGGCTCCCTGTTCTTTTTCTGTAATCTTCCTTATAATAATGGTGGCTGTCTCTTATTGGTACTATTCTCATTATTTGGATTACAAGAACGCAAGAATTTCCAGGATAAGATATTTTCCAAGATATGTGTGAGATCCAAATAACTGGCACCTACACCAGAACATGGCTTAGAAATAGTTTTGCAACTGTATTTCTTTAGTTTTTACTTTTCCCTGGGAGAATAATGATGCACATCTGGGAATTTTTTTCAAAGTATAAAATCTCTTCTCCACTCTAGGCAGACTGCTTTCTCCAAATTCCTAATTTATCCGGACTTCCTTTACTTCTCAGCACCAAAACAAGTATAGCAAGCTTCAGCTTACCAAACTGGAGACACACCTTTGGTGTCCTCCAACATTATAAAGTGTTTATCTGGTTCTTCTGAGGTCAGCAGCCCTGGCATTCTCCTATGAATTCCTGGCTCATGCCCCCGTGGTTAATAATCCAATGTTTCCGAAGAATACTAGTAGTCTTATACAATGGAATGTCAGCTGTCTTGCCATGTGACAGAAAATGCATTCTCTTTATTCTTTTAGAAAGATATCCACAAATGAAAGAGGGAAACAACTGCAAACTCCATCATCAGCATCAAACATTTGGGTAACATGTCCGTTGTTTTGGTACCAAGGATCAAACTCAGGATCTTGCACTTATAAGGCAGGTACAGTGCCACTGAGCTAAATCCCTGGCTGGAAACATGTCCTTGGGACCAAGAATCTTCTGGGACCTGGAGAAGTCCAGAACCAGTCCTTTTCATGGTCCTATGCTGGATCCATCTCAGTTTCATGATTTCTGACATTGGGATTCACAGAGCTAACTCCTTTTAAATTTTCGTATTAACTCTGTGGTAAAACTTCTCTATAACTTGAAACACCAGATTTAACCTACCTATTGCCCAAGTTTTTGTATTACCAAGAGTGATGTCCACTCTCTCACCTAGAATTTATATTTATGTATGTATTGCATGTAAAATTTTGAAAAGAGTAACTAAAACTAAAGGTATGCAAAAATAAACACTGAAAAATGTCATTAAGAACCAAGTGTGGTGGTGTGTGTACTCCAGCTACCCAGAAGTCTGAAACATGAGCATCACAGTTTAAGGGCCACCTGTGCAACATGGCAAGAACCTGTCTCAAAATTAAAAAAAAAAAAAACAATGAACAGGGCTGGGACTATAGCTCAAGCCTCCCTGGGTTCAATTCATAGTATTGTGAAAAAATAAAAACAAAAACAAAACCTCCCTGAAAACAGAGCTCAGTCTTGGGAGAATGTTTTTATAACATGCACAAGGGGTTGGGTTCAATCCTCAGCACTTCAAAAAGGCACAAAACAAAAAATCTGTCTAAGACTGTCTCCTCTAATCATCTTTACTAAACAGTCACATCTCATGTTTCTCTCTTTCACTCTGGTTAAATAGTCTTCTGACTAATTAACATTACTGTCCTGTTTTTGTGGCATCAAAATATAAATTCCGCAAAAAAGAGACATTATTTTGATCATTACTATTATAATCCCAGTGATAAAACCTGCTGCATTAGGATATGCTAAATGATAAGTAAATTTATGAATAACTGACAAATCACTCCAAAGAATGGAGGATAAAAAGCAACTGACAGGGCCAGTGATTTAGCTCAGTGGTTTCACCACCTACTGCGCAAGCACAAGGACCCGAGTTTGATCCCGGTAGCAAAAAAAAAAAAAAAAAGCAAGTGACAATACTAAGAAAATAGACTTGATCTTAGACAAAAGGCCGAGAAGTGATGAGAAAAGAGACACCAAATAAAAATGTCTAAGAAAGATGAAGGTAGGGATTAGATTTGGGGTAAATGTAAGAATATATTTAACAAATTAAAAACTGGAAATATACATGCAAACACCCTCCTTGAAAACTATGTAACACACATGTCTGATGGATGCAGACCAGCTATCCTCAGGCCTGGGACCTGGGGAAAAGTGACCAACAGCTGAACACAGCCAACATCTGCTCAGCTCCCCTCTTCTCAGGGTCCTAGTCCAGAATGCAGTGACTAACCTGGGGGGCTCAGATTTGGGGGTGGTTCTCCCATCCATGGCTCTGCTCCTTGCTCCAGCTTAAAGATCACCTCAGGTTTAGTGATGCAATGCCCTGTTAATGGGAAATAATGCATTTAAGAAACTGCTTTGTAAGTTTCTGTGCAGAATGAAAAACAGCCCAGCTTCAAGCTCTGTTCAATAAAGGTGCCAAGGTGAACCCTTCATTAGAGAGGGGGAACAATCACATTCTTCATAAATGAGAAGACTATGCGCAGTAGCACTGAAGCTTACTAGTGCTCACTAAGGAGGAGGAGCTTCCTCCTGAGTGTGATGGGGTTCACTCACCCAGCAATACCAGGCTGCGGTAGGTCTCCAGCATCACGTCCCTGTACAGCGTTCTCTGAGCATCATCCAGGTCCTGCCACTCCTCACAGGTGAAGTCCACAACCACATCCTCAAAGGACACTGACACCTGTAAGAGAACATTTCCCACTCATCAGCTCTGGTCACAACAAGAATGTGAAGTTCTGGGCCAGGGATTTAGCTCAGTGGTTCCACTGCTTGCCTCACAAGCACAAGGACCCAAGTTCAATCCCCAGTACCAAAAAAAAAAAAAAAAAAGAATATGAAGTTCTGACATTAGCAGGAGGTAGGTGTATATAATGAATTTTATAACATATGCAGCTTGCTTTGAATGCCATATTGTTGGACAAAGGAAAGTCACAGAACTACTGTGCATTATAATTATTTCTCAATTACTAAAAATACTATTACAGAGTTTACCTTATAAATCTAAAAACCATCCTGGGGCCAGGGATTTAGCTCAGTGGCACCATGCTGACCTCGCAAGCACAAGGTCCTGAGTTTGATCCCTGGTACTAGGGGGGAAAAAATCTAAAACCATCATTTTTTGCTGGGGATTAAAATATGAATAAAATTTTGCTGCCTCAAGGAGCTTATGATCTGGTATGAAGAAGAAATAAGTATGACTACATGCACACAATCATTTGTTATATAAACTTATTTAGACATAACTTCAATGCAAATGAAGCAATGAAGGAGAAACCATAATTGTTTTGTATTATAAGCTTGCACTTCACTGAAAAACCAAAAATGTTAAGCTCTTCCCTCTGTGAACCAAGGATTCTCATGATGACAGGCAACAGCATCAGTCTGGTCACAAGCACAGAGTCAACACAGCCATGTCAACAGAACCACCGCAGTATTGTGTCTGGGTCAGTGACCCTGGTCTGTGATGAGAAATAAACACAATACTGAAGGAAGTCATGCAGTGTGTGGGTCTGCATTACATTTGAATATATTCCAACAGAAAACACAGTTTAGGAATCTGTTGTTTTTTAATTACATTTAAGTTAAAACCATGCACACGGGCCAGGGACTTAGCTCAGTGGTTTCACTGCCTGCCTCCCAAGTGTAAGGTCCTGAGTTAGATCCCCAGCACCAAAAATAAAAAATAAAATAAATAAAACCATGCACATGGCATCGCACTCTTTCCTTCCTACATGCCAAATGAGTCCCTGAGTTTACTCCAGGTGAGCACTGCCACTACCCAAATGGCAGGATGTAAGTAATAAGGTCCTGGAAGAACAGACAGGTAACTCAGCAGGTCTGCATTTCAACAGTCAGCTCCCAGAAGGGCAACTGGAAAGGCTTATGGGACAATCAGGGGAAAGAAGCAGAGTGAGACCTGCTGACCTCCGACAGGATACAGAGAAGTAAAACTGCACCACAGCAAAGGAACCCTACTACCACAGACATACTGAGAAGGCAAAGCAAGGACAGAACCTGCTACTGACTGGCTGAGCAGAGGACAAAAGGACCTTGTCCTTCCAGCTACCTGAATGACTGCTGCTAGTTACATACTGGGATCATAAAGTGAAGTTTGGAAAACAGAAGACTATGATGGCCAAGTGACACAGACCTTAACACCATATTTGGAGAATCTCAGGTCCCAAATGTTGGATGTCCAACTGCTAATTATATACATGTATATATATGTATGTATTTATTATATATGTGATTCCAGAATTAAGGACAAATGCAAGCTGAAGATAAAAAAATGTGTAAGGTAACAGAATTTTGGCGCTGCCTGAAATCAAGGGCCTTCTTTTTTTTTTTGGTACTGGGGATCGAACTTGGGTCCTTGTGCTTGTGCAGCAGGCGGTGAAACCACTGAGCTAAATCCCCAGCCCCTTTGCTGCCCGAAATCATCAGAATGAATAAAATGACGAAGAGAAACTAAGAGATTGAAGGAGAAAAGTAAAAAGAATCTGAAGAAACTACAACTTATTGGTAGAGGACAAGAACTAGATTATGGAAACCAAGAAGGAATTCCTGAGTTTATCCCACAAATAAAGGAAAGTTCAATACAAGAACTCTAACACAGTCAATCATATTCTTAATTCAATAGGGAAAAATTCTGATTGTCAGCAAGACACTGATATTTTGAAAATACAATTCTACCAGTTGTGCTGGCATACGCCTCTAATCCCAGCACTGGGAAACCTGAGGCAGGAGGATTGCCCCGAGTTTGAGGCCACCCTGGGCTACATAGTGAGTTCAAAGCCAGTCTGAACTACGTAAGACCCTGTCTCAAAAAACAAAACAAAACAAAACACCATTCTAGTATTCACTTCTGCAGGTAAAGATCCTAGAAGTTGTCTCAGTTTGGATATGGAACGTCCCCCAATGGCCCGTATGATAAGCAAATGTGTCCAACCTGCCGCCTGTGGGCCACATGTGGCCCTGGACAGCTGGTAAGGTAGCTTAACATTTTATCTAATATTTACTGGTATTTTTCATGATTTGAATGTGCTGTGCTCAAAAACAGACCACATGGAACAACAGCACACTGTGTAGGGGAGCACACAGTGCACTGCTAACTCCACCTCCTGCACCTGCCACACAGTCAGTGGAATTAAACCTGGGCTGAAACCCCTTGCATATTAGGTGTTATATGCGCTGTGCAAGGCAGCAAATAAAACACAGCAATTACCAATAGTAGTCTTTAACCACCTTCACCCATGTGGGCCTGTGCTGATAGAAATTTACTGTTATTAAGCAGATATGGAAGCTTTCTTATTTAATTACTAAACCTGGGCTTTTTATTCCATGAAATAACTTAATGTTACTTTTTAAACTACCATGGTATATGAAGTACAAAAGGTACCAAATAGTATTTTGCTTATGATATGGTTATAAGTACATATGCAATATCACTAATACTAGAAAAATGAATGGTGGTTATTTATTAGCTTTTTTAATATCCCAGCATGGCTTGAAGATCATCTCAAAAGAAAACAAGACCCCCCCAAAAAAAGAAAAAACATGAAGAAAGAATGTTCAGCGAAAAATAGATGTATTTTCATGTTGAAACAAATAAGATACTATGCTTCACTTGTACGGAAATCATATCAGTTTCAAAGATTTCAATGTGAAAAGACATTATATGCATATACAGACATTCTGCCAAATTTGATGCATATCAAGAACCATTTCACAAAGACAAAATAGAAGAACTGAAAAAGAGTCTGCAACAAAAATTTTTTAAAAGTTACAACTGTAATCCCAGCACTCTGAAAGGCTGAGACAGAAGGATCACAAGTTCAAGGCCAGCCCAGGCAACTTACAAACTTATTGGGAATCAGTCTCAAAATAAGAAATAATTTTTAAAAATCTGGGGATGTAACTCAGTGTAAAGGCCCTAGGTGCAATCCCCAATATAGCACCAAAACAGAGAGAAAAGAAAGGAAAAGGAAAGAATGAAACAAAAAACAAAAAACAGGACTAGGTATTACCTCGCTGGTACTATGAGCAAGACCCTGAGTTCAATCCCCAGTATGGGGAGTGGGGAACCGACATACAGAATAATGACACAAAAAAGGTGCAAATTTTGAAAATTTGTACTTCAATTTACTTCATGTGTATCTTTTATTAACCCTCATGCAAATGTGTCCTACTAATCCCTGAATGCTTTCTCTCACTAGATCCTGAGTCTTCAAGAGTTTATATACCTGAGTTTATACACCACGTGCACTATATATTAGCATTATTCTCAGGGGACTGAACCTCATCACTGGGCAAGCACACTCTTCAAGTTCTGTTAAGAATTGACATTTCCAAAGTGATTGCATTAATTCCCAAGCATAATCAGCTCTCCTAGATTGTATTTGCATTGTATGCAAATATTTGAAATAAAATAAAGGAATGTTTAAAAGATGCAGAAGATCACACCAGATAAGATCAGATTTGATGGAGAAGGAGTCAGGGAAAAAAAAAATCTCATTTTTCAGGGTTGGGCCACTGCCAAGAAGGTGTGATACAGTATGTAAGTGAAGAAAGTTGTGCTTCCCCTTTTGGACTTGCTGAGCTTGAGGTACCTTTTGAATTGATAAAGAGATGATCCAACAGGGAGTTAAGAACTAAGACTTAAAGTTCTGGTCTAAGGGTGAGAAAACAAGTCCAAGCTGCAGAGAAGAACACTGCAAACACCAGAGAGCTAAATCTACCAAGGAAGAATGCAGAGTGCAAAGAATGGGATCTAGGATGTGAAGAACCTGGATGAGCAGAAAAAGCAAAAGAATTCAAGGAAACAAAATATCACAAGAAAGGCCCTGACAGTAACTAATAACTCCCAGGAGCAGACTGTGGACACTAGTTAAAAATACAGCAATCAACTTTGGACTTAACTAAAATGCATGTTTCTAATGAACTTATGAAAACTGAATTAAGACAACACTAAGCGGGTTAAAGTACAAATAAGCGGTGGGACCATCTGCCAGGAACCATCACTCGGACCAGTCTGCTGCATGCGCCGCGTGTGAATATGGGCTGCGACACAGGTACAGACACAGTCACTGAATGACTCGTGGTCAACTCAATCCTTCAGACAGCCGAGCTTTCATCCATGAATTGATCACCACCTTGCAAAAGCTGCCTGGCAACACAGTATTTCAGCAACTCCAGAACAACCTGATTTTGAGTTTTATTTAGGACTAGGTAACTTTTTACAGAGGAGTGCTAGAAGTGTTTATTTCCGAGGTGGTAGTGAAAAACATTCTACTACATCCTCTATGTGACCAGTGAAGATAATGTTTCAGCCCTTTGTGTAAACAATTACATCCCATGACAAGTCACCATGCTCTCTTCTCAGGTTCTATCTCCATCAAAAAACAAACGTGTCCGCTTTTTCTCGTGGCATCAGAAACACCAGAGCTAAACTGTACTCCACACAGAGTTCAATACAGCCCCATATGCCAAAAAGTAGACACCCACGCTCTAAATTCCTGATTTTGTTAAATCTCTATTCTCAAACTGAGAGGAAATATTGCAGATAAAATTTAAACCAGTCTTGTTTTGTTCAGCACAAAAATAAGATCCAAATGCTACAAGGAAACTGCCTAGGTGCTGACAACCACTCTATCCTGATTGGCCTGTAGTTCTGAGAACTTATGTAAAAATTCATGGCTGTGTATATATTATTGTACTTCTTACCCCCCCCCTCAAAAATTTTAAAACACAGATATCTTTTAAGTCTTTATCTATATGCTAACTCTGTCTTATTTATGTCCATTTCCATAAAGCTGAGTTGTTTTTTTTAAAGCTGAGTTTTTACAGATTCTACAATTTCATTTCAATTAATGGAGCTCAGAGAGCTGTTAAAAACACAATGTAAAACAAAGTGAGGAATGAACAACTCACCGGAGATTTATTCATTTTTAGTTGCTCTTTGAAACACACAGAAGACTCTGGAGGCATAGCTGAGAGAAGTTAAATGTAGGAAAGGAAAGTTGTGAGAGAACAGGCAGGCGCAGACTTAGATTACCTCCTCAAAAATACTCCATGTATTAGCTGGAAAAGATAAACAAACAAACAAACTCTGTAGGAGTACAGTTCCTTACACAAGAAAGGGTGACAAAAGCCAGGCTACGTGGCACAGGTCTGTACTCCCACCTATGTGAAAAGTGGAGGCAAGAATATCACAAGTTCAAGGCCAGGCTGGGCTATATAGAGAAACACCCTGGACTACACAGACTTTGTCTCAAAAAGGGGAGGAGCACATTTCATTGAGGACATACCCACAAATTCAGTCACTGGTAGAGATTAGATGTAAAACTGATTACTGGGTTAATATAAATATATATTATCAACTGACTTACTGACAATTAATGTTCTCCAAAGAAATAATAATTTAAACCACAGCAACATTATGACTTCACTGACATTAATGTCATAGGAATCCCCATGGACTAGGTGAACTCTTCTATTAATAATCCTGCAGGGCCCATGAGAGCATTTCCACTACAACACCTCTGGGTTTCACATACCCAGCTTCCTGGAAAATACACATGTGCAGCTCAACATGTTCTGCCCATGCTCGTACAGGAAAGCAATGTATTTAATGTACACTTCTTGTGATGCCCTGTTCCAGCACTGGATCCCCATGAGGCACCTCCATGTACCCACACCCTCTAACAGTCCCCAAGGATGAGAACCTGGGCTTTGCCATTGACTTGATTTGGCCAAAAGGACGTCACTGAATGTGATGCAAACCTAAGCTTGAAAAGAACTGGCTCACTGGTGCTTGTCTTCCTGGACACAGTCAGACTGTGAGAAAGCCTGGGGCTCCCGCTCTCCAGACACGGGGTGGGGGGGGCCCCTCCCTGCCCTAAGAGGAGCACAAACACCTGAGGGAGTGAAGTCATCTGGAACCAGCCAACCGAGTCAAGGCCCCAGGGGACTGAAGGCTCATCTGTGACCCCAGGTGTCACCAGTATAGGAATCTTCCAGGTGACTCCAGTTCACACATTCACCCAGCGGCAAGTGATCAAATGAAATGGTTTCTTCCCTTAAGCGAACAAATTATTGTTCGTTTATTATACAGCAAAGGCTGTTAGCACAAACGAGTTAGAATTCAGTGTTTTAACATATCAGAAAGTAAGGGGAAAGTCTCCAGACACAAATACAATTTTTAAAAAAATCTTTCAAAGTGTTGGGAAGAAAAAAAACCCAGTAAACACCCAAAGGATGGACTACAGTATGGCTGAAGCCTAATGATTCAAACAAAGCAGTGTCTGGAGATGAGAAGGGTAAGGCTTTTCCACACTAAAAATAGGCTGTTACATATATGTGAACTTTGAATTGTTTTCACATTTTATTGGTTCGAAGCTCAAGTGTGATGCAGTCTAATTTTCCCCTTTTCAAATAATGTAAAATAGGCTGCTACTATTTTCCTGCAGAATTTATGATTTTTAGGAACCGATTACTGACATTAAGTGAGAAACATGTGTGATTCACCCTTTCAGGTCACATAACGCAGAGAAAATACTGGGGATAACAAGGGATAGGCATGTTTGGGATAAGTATTTTATAGCAAAATTCTAGGGCTGGGTGATGTAACAGCTGGCACAACACCTGCCTATCAGGTGTTACACTCAGGGTTTGACCCACAGCACTACAAAAAACACAGTAACAGCCAAGTGTGGTGATGCACACCTATAATCTCAGCACTTGGGAGGCTGAGGCAAGAGGATTGCTGCGAGTTGGAGACCAGCCTGGGCTATATAGTGAGTTTAAGGCCAGTCTGAACCACATAGTGAAACCCTGTCTCAAAAAACCAAAACAAAACAAACACTGGCCAAATCTGAACACAGTGTTCCTGCTCAACTGACTTCAGTGTCATCCAAATGATCTCAAAACTAAGCAAACACTTCTTTTAAATGGGCAAAATGGGTAACAGCCAAAAGTCAAGATGCACCTGACATCTACATATCTGGTAACCCTAGACAAATCACTTATCTATGTGACACCAATTTTTTTCATCTTTCTTACAAAGCAGAAATACTTTGGCCAATCCTTCCTGAACTAGGAGAGATAACAGGATAAAGTGATCATCGTCAGAGGTCAAATCTGTTTGTTGACGGTCTAAATTTCAGAGAGTTCACACACTGGATAGAAGTGAAGATAGAAAGAATGGGTGTTTAGAGAACACAGAAGATGGTCTTGTCAGGCCCACAGGGTATCCTTCCTTCCACAGCACAACTTCAAGACCTCTCCTATAACAAACATTCCCCAAGTCCTTGCCTATCTTTCTCAGCCCAGTTTACATCTTCCTCCAGAAAGTCAGTTCAAACCGTCCAGTAGCACCCAGTTGCTGTTTCTGGAGAAGGTAGCTGTCACCTATATGTTCTTTCATCTAGCCAACAGGATCAATAATTACTTAATCCAGGTAAAGCTAGGAACTTGTCCTCTTTGGGACACTGTGCCTCTCCTCTGAAGTGATACTGACAAGGGTCAGGCCACAGTGTTCTCTCAGGTGGAATTCCAAACTCTGGAACACCTACATTTTTCTAAAGAAAATGGGCCTATTATCCAGCACCCCAATCTCCCTTGCAGACTGGTGAAATTTTTCTGTAAACTTAAACCAGGATGCTAGTCAGGCTACACAGTGCAGTAAGTGACCAGAAACTTCGCTTGCTGAAGAGATACCAAGATCCCCACACAACTGCTACATAGAAAGACTCGGTCCGCACACAGTTCACCCTCATTTCTCTTGGAATTGGAGGTCATTCCACCAGGACTGTTAATCCTCTCATTTTACAGGTGGGTAAACTGATGTCACCCTGGTAACAAGCTCCCACCGCACGCACACCGCCCAGCTCGCCGGGGTGCGTAGACCGCCCCGCGCCACGTCACCACTCGACCACCTCCTTCGCAGCTTCTAGAGTCTTCGCAGTGTCTTTTGAGACACACACACACACACCTGGAACCACACGCCCGGGCTCGGACACCCTGACAAAAGTTAGGGAAGCACAGCAGAGTCGCCCCTCCCCAGCCCGGGACTCGCGGCCCCGGCCCTCACGTCGCCTCCCAGACCCGCTCAGGTCCTGCCGCCCACATCCACCCGCGTTCGCGCTACTGCCAAGGCCCGGATACCTGTCCCGCTCCCCAGGATCAAGGTTGCTCTTTCGCCCTCTTACCACGCTTCATGGACACAAGGCAACTCCACTAACAGAGTAGCTATAGCGAGGGGAAGGGCCAGGAACTTCCGGGAGAAAATGACGTATGGGCGGGACTACGCGTGCGTAAAAGAAAGCGGGCAAGTTATTTCCTGTTCTCTAGAGACGTCATTGTTGGGGGTTAGATTTCCCACAACCCTCTGCGCGGTCCTGCCAGAACAAAGGATGTGGTGTTCATTTTAGAAGGTGACCAGGATCTGATGGTTTAAGACTGGTCCCTAACCGTTGGGGAACCATTGTTATTTTACTAATTACTTCCTCAAAGGACATATTGAAGCTGAATGATGAGTGTATAGTGTAACATTAACTTCTCACCGTGCAAGCTACATGCACAAACCTTAGATGTTTTAACCACTTGACAGGTCTTGAAGAACAACATTTCTTCCCCAATCAAGTGTTCTTTGGATGACATTCCCAGACCCCTCCTCACTTAGAAATCAATTAGAAAGTTCTCCACTACTTCCCAGCCTATGCTGTCCACTCGGAACTCACCAGCTGCTCTTTTACAGTGTATTAAATTTTTCCATACTTCTTGACAGTTGGTAAATTCACACACACACACACACACACACACACACACGCACGCACACACCCCCAAGGTAGTTGCCTTCCATATGCTGCCTCCCCATAGCGCTAAACATAGTATGTAGAATGAGATCGTTCTTTGCAATATTCGGATCTACCTAGGACTTCCCATCTTAGCCAAGCACTCGAATACTAAGCCATATTCCAGCTTTTTAAAAAAACTGATAGATCGGGGCCTGGGATTTAGCTCAATGGCGCCTCGCCTGCCTCGAAACCACAAGGTCCTGAGTTCAATCCTTCGTACTGCAAAAAAAAAAAGCCTATTGTTTCCTAAAATCTACCAATCAATTATTTTTTTTAAAAAAGAATGCCTCCTGAATTTCTAGGAGGGGTCTGAAACAGGTTTAGCCACTGAGACACTTTGTCAGGGGTAATGTGTACAGCAAAATCACAATGTGGGTCCAAGGTGGGTCAAACTACAGTCAACCTATGGGATTACAAGTATAGCCCACTTAGCTAATATTGATCCAATAGGGAAACGATTCACATAGCAAGGGTACATGGAAAGAACAAAGACATTTTGAGGAAGGGATGGGTCCAGAGCTCTGGTCACCTACGTGGATGACTGATGTCTAGCTGGACTTAGTGGACTAGGTAGTGCTAATTACAGTATAATTCCAAGCTCCTTAGGGAGGGACATAGGCCTGGCCACTATATCTTCATCTTGAGGCCTGGCCTTTTTCAGATGCTCCTCCAGCCACAATTTTAGTGTCTTCATTTGCTGACTTAAGACCTTCTCTATCTGTATATTAATTTCTGTCTAACTTAGCTGCCTATAATAGTGTCAGCTGCAAATTTATTGTTCGCTTGGTATATGGGGAAAAAGTTCTACAAATCTAGTGTCAAAAGTGATCTGTAGCCAGGGATTTAGCTCAGTAGTTCTGCTGCCTGCCTTGCAAGCAAAAGGACCTGAGTTCAATCCCCGGTTCCAAAAAAAAAAAAAAAAAAAGTGATCTGCACTATGAGAGTAGGAAAAATTGAATTTGAGTTGAATTCCATAAATGTAGAACCCTCAGATACAGGGGGCAGATTATATAATATTTTAAAGTACCACTGAGAGTTTATACTATAAGATGTCTTATTAAGCAGAAATTTCATTTTAATTTTTATTGTTATATTTTTGCAGTACATAATGATCATATTCCTTGTGGAGATACTATGTTCCAAAAGAACCTCCTATGGATATGATAGCTTACCAACACACACACATGTATTCTTCAAACAACAGACTGTAACTATTTTAGTATCTAGTTTTCCAGGTTGCAATCATAGCCATCCTTGAAAAAACATTCTGAAAAGGAGTAATTCTACCCTATAAGTAGAACAGGGAGTATTTTCAAGGTAAATGAATGTTAGAAAATCAATCTCTAACAATTAAGATGCCTTGCAATTTAAGAAACAGAAAGCCACCACTCCACTACTCTAAAAACAAAGAAATATTCTCTACATGGCCTAATATGACCTCTAACGATTCAGACTGTCAAAGTAAGGCTCTGGTGTGCAATGGGGGTGGGGACTGAGATTTGGCTCTCACCTGTAGAATATGGGGAAGGTGCAGGGATGTGGCTTCCATGTCTACATAGTTATTTTGTTGTTGTTGTTTTTTGTTTGTTTTTTGGTGCCGGGGATCGAACTTGGGACCTTATGCTTGCAAGGCAGGCGCCAGAACCACTGAGCTAAATCCCTGGCCCAACTACATAGTTATTTAAGACAATCCTAGCATGCTCCAGTGGAATCCTATCCTACCAATCATGAAGAAGCAAGCAATCCCACAGGCCCTGCTTAGAGAAAGAACTGTGGGCAGCTTCCAATAAATAGTCAGTAACTTATGAATTCAGACCCTCAGTCACATATCCTCCAGGAGACAAACCCTGCTGAAATCTGAATGCGTGTGGACACAGTGTTTCCCAGTCGAGCCTCCAGATGAGAATGCAGGAACGCGCCCCATCCAGCCGGGGCCAGGCACATCCGCGGGACACAAGAGAGGTCCCGGGTTGCAGGGAGCCCAACCCCATCCAGCCCGTGCCCACGTGTGGGTGCCTGCAGGAGCCCCACCCCCACCCCGGGCCTCTTGGCTGTCCCGCCACCTGTTTCCACACTGCAAAGACACAGGGGACACCAGACCACCAGATCAACACACTGGGTAAGTTGGAGGGATCATCACCTCGCATCGGAACCTGGTCTATCTTCAGGGGAAGGGCAGCTGGAACCTTGCAGTACAACCTTGCAGAGTTCAACCTTACAGGAGGACAGGGAGCTCAACTTGGGACTTGCAGCCAGAAATGTGCCTGAATCTCACGGGTCTGCAACTGGCTGGCTGAGACTCATTGACTTATATCTGCATACTGCTGCCCACATTGTCTATTGTGACGGCAGAGACATACCCTGAAGGAGGCCCTTCATTTTCATTTTTATATTTTTTATTTCCAAAATTAGTATTATTGGTTTGGGGGTTTTTTCCTCTTATTTTTAATTTTTTTCCTACTCTTGAAAATTTTTTTTCTTTTTTTTTCTTTCTTTTCTCTTTCCTTTCTCTCATACTCACTCTCTTGCTGTCCCACATTGTTCTTCATCTCCCTTTTTGTTCCTGTTCTGGCCCTAATTCCGATTTCTTCTTTATTTTTCTTTTATTCTCTTTTTCCTTCTCTCGCCTGTGTCCTCTGGCCTCACTGCTAACCTTCCCCTATCCTTCTACCTATCTATCCCTCCCTCCCCAACTCCTTCTAACTCCCCATCCCAAAGGGTAAAGTTGCTATATTGAAGAGTTTATTCACTATAAACATATGTTGGGTTAGTCCTCGATTTTGATTTAATTCACACAGTTAAAGGTGATAGATTAATAACTACCACAAATTGTCATTTTCTAAGATGTACTTGATGCTATGGTGTTGCTGATTGTATCACTTGGGCTAAGGTGTTGTTATTGATCTAGTCAGTGGTCCTTCCTGGTATAACAAAAATGAGATAGCCTCAGAGTCATTAGAGACTCAAAACCTAAAGACCACCTATATCTGGAAGACACCTCTGAGAAGCAATCATTCCATAAGGGTTCTAATTACAAGCAACAAAGATACTTATAATAAGCAATTTTGAAGTATCAACCCAGGAATTAAACCAAGGACAGTATCAAAAGCAAATATGAGAAGACATTTAAGCAAGGCACAAACACAGACTTCCACCCCACCAAGGGTAAACTCTGGAGGAATCAAAGTGGAAAAGTCTGATAATCAACCACTTGGACACCCTGAACTGATAGCTGAGGAAGTAACAAAACAGATGAATGAGTCTTTAGAAAAATTCAAAGCAGAAATAATCTCCCAGATAACTAGAGATGGTGAGCAGAGTGAAAGACATGATTAGAGGGTCTAGAATAGAAACAGATAAAAAAGATAGATGAACTCAGAAACATGCTGGAAGCCATGAATGCCCAGCATAAGAAAGAAATGGAAACCATGATCACCCAACATAAGAAAGAAATGGAATCCATGAGACAGATTCAAACAGATATTCATGAGATTAAAAACTCCATTGAAAGCATGCAGAGCAGATTAAGGGAATCTGAAGACAGAATATCAGATATAGAAGACAGGATCGCGGTTAAGGACCATGAAAATAGAGATTTCTTAAAAATAGTAAGGGACCACAAGAAATCCATCCAGCAGCTGCTAGACGATGCAAAAAAGAATAACATAAGACTGATAGGACTGCACAAAAAAACAGGAGAAAGTACAATTGACATAAGAAAACTGTTCACAGAAGTAATAGTAGAAAACTTCCCAGACAGAGGTAGAGAATTGGACATACAGATAAATGAGGCATACAGAACTCCAACTAGCCACGATCAAAAAAAATCTACACCTAGACATATAATAGTCAAGATCCCAGAAACCCAACAGAAGAACAAAATCCCACAAGCAGTTAAGAGAAAAGAAACAAATCACCTACAAAGGAAAGCCCATCAGAATCACAGCAGACTTCTCAATACAAACCCTCAAGTCAAGGGGAGCCTGGAGTGAAGTATTTCAAGCCCTAAAAGAAAATAACTTCCAACCTAGACTGTTGTATCCTGCAAAACTATCTTTCAAAATCGATGGGGAAATTAGATACTTCCATGACAAAGAACACCTGAGAAATTTCATGAACACCAAGCCAGATGAGAATGCAGCCTGGATGGGATCTTGATTGAAGACTTCAGAGATCCTGAGCACAGGACCTGGCTAAGCCATTCCCAGAATCACGACCACCAGAAACTGAGATAGTAAATGCTTGTTCTCCTGAGCTGGTAAGTTGTGGCCATTTCTTACACAAGAGCAGTAACCTAATGAGAACATAAATACATCAAAACATAGCAACTCTGAGGTTGGGTATTTCAGTTGCCCTTGACATCACCATTCACACTGGCTCTACAGTGTTCTGCCTTTTGACTGTGAGGCCCACATCTGAACATCTGAAGGGCACAATATGTGACCGTGGGTTGCGTCAACAAAGAAATGCCTTCCAAGGAAAGAACCGTCTTTCTCTTCATGAGAACTTTCCCAGATATGCCACAGACTTCTCTCACATACCTGAAGAGAGTTGGGACACATGCTCAGCCCAGAGGGACCACTAAAGAAAATGTCAGTCTTTCCTAATCATAAAAACTCAACCAAGAGGAATCCCTGAACAATACTGGGCGGAAGCAGACAAAAAACAAATCCTGACTTTTGTGAAAATGACTGTTGTAGCATCAAACAAATCTGTGAAAGATTCCTGCCAAGTGTGATTTTGTAAGTTACAATAATCACTCCCCCCCCCATGTCTACAGTTTATATGCTACTTATCAGATGCCAGGAAATATTCAAAGAATTGTACTTACCTAATTACTCCTCACAATGACTTCTGAAGGCAGGTTCTAGTATTACTTCTTTTTTGAACATGAAGCGATGGAAGCCCAGAGATGTTAGGGTGAAAAGTCACACATGTAAGCGGAGAAGAGAGGATGTATCACATGGCCCCTGTTGGAGAGCATGACCACCACTCTGTCACTGAGAATGCAGACTGCTCAGTTACACAGCACTTGGCACACACACCTATGCCAGAACCCATGTAAACATGAGGAGTTAAGAATGAAGGGCAAATTGTGCTTGCAGAGATTGCATTTTACTGAATGGGGTGAAACAGGTACCACTGATCAGAGCTGTTTAAACTAATCTAGACTTAAACTGCTATGTACCTGATTTGTACAGTTCTATGAAAATCTTTCTTTTAGAACCACTGTCTAGCACTATTTAGTGCAGATTTCAGGAAAATATTTATTTAAGAGTTTGGTAATGAACCAGGGATTTAGCTCAGTTCCACTGCCTGCCTTGCAAGCACAAGGACCCGAGTTCAATCCCTGATACAAAAAAAAAAGTTTGGTAATAATTGTAGTACAAATCTACATATGCTAGGAATAGGCACATGAATGTCATAAGGCACTTTATACTTCATCCACTGAACAAGACATAGAGGCTAGTGTAGCATATAACACGGAAATTCCTAACTGCTATGCTTTGGATATGGTTTGTTCCCAAGGGTTCATGTAGAGTTGAGGCTTAGGGTGGTGGTGAAATGAAATGCTAAAAGCCAGGGCCTTGCTGGGCCCACTGGGGCATGCCTGTAACCTCAGTGACTTGGGAGGCTGAAGCAGGAAGATCCCAAGTTCAAGCCCAGTCTGGGAAATAAGTTGCAAATGAGCGAGATCATACCTCAAAATAATATAAAAAAGGGCTGAGAATGTAGCTCAGTGTGAAGGCCCTGGTTTCAATCCCAGTACCACACCCACATGCATACATACCCACAGAGGGGCTGGAGATATGAGCTCCTGGGTACAGTCCCCAGTACCAGAAAAGAAGAACATGGTGGAGTCTAGCAGGAGGAACTGGGTCACTACCGGCAGTGCCACACAAGAGAACAAATGCTTGTGCAGAGTTGTTGCAGGAAGGGTTATTATAAAGCAGGGTCACTCCCCACACGTGGCCTCTTCTGCATATGACAAGCTTCGTTTCCATGTCTCTAATGTGACATGAACCAGCCAAGCAAGACAGCATAGAGGCTGAAGTACTGGAGCCACCCAATCTTTCCGTCAGCCTCCCACACTGCAAGCAAAATAAGCCTCTTTATAAAGTTCCAGGCCTCAAGTGTTTTGTCACAGCAAGAGAATGGATTAATACATTAATCTAAGCCATATTTATTACACCAGTGGTATTTATCATCTCCACTTGGTTATTCTGGGTCTCATGAAGGAGCATTTCTAATATATAACACTCAAAAAAAAAAAAAAATACTCTAAGTAACCCTGTGTACTTCAGGGTCTATGCTGTGTTTTGTAGGCTGTGTAGATGTACCAGACCTCTACCCGCTAGATGGCACTAGCAGGAGCTCCCAATCTCCAGCTATGACAACCAAAAATGACTGCACATAGTCAAATGCGGGTAATGGCACCACTCATATTTTATTACTCAAATATTTTATATATATATATATAATTTTTTTTTTTTTGGTATGGGGATCAAACTCGGGACTTTGCGCTTGTGAGGCAGGTGGTGGAACCACTAAGCTAAATCCCCGCCCTCAGATATTTTATATTTGAATACTATCTTTAACATTCTCATTTGTTCCCATTACACTGAGTACAGATCTGATGCATAAACAAGGTAAAATCTTTTTTTTTTTTTTCGGACCAGGGATTGCACTCAGGACCTCACACTTGCCAGGTAGGCGCTGGGTTGCTGAGCTAAATCCCCAGCCCAGCCCAACAAGGTAAAATCTTAAAGCTCTGATTCATTTTGGGGGGGGGGGGGGTATCGGGGCTCGAACTCGGGACCTTGTACTTGTGAGGCAGGCATCAGCCCCTCTGACTCATTATAATAATAGATTTACATTCTCAGTATTCCATGAGATATCCCTGCCAGACATACAAAGTCCCAAAGATGTTTCACCCTTTCTCGATTTTTATAAAAGCTGACTTGGAGATGAAAGATGACAATACAGGCTTCTGTATCCCCTCAGAAAGATCTCATATTCATAAAATGAATCAGCAACAGTGGGCCACTGGTGCTATAATGCAAACAGATCATGCATAAAATAGCAAAAGAGTATTTATTTCTCACTCGTGTAACGAACACAAGGTGCTGAGGCAGAGCTGGAAAGATCTGTGTTCTCTTCATCTGTCTTAAATCACAGTGACCATTTCCCACCTGTACTTCAAGGCCATCCTGAGGGTCGGTAGCACTTTAGTCTCATAAAATATGAGAAATCTGAGAGGACTGGAGGGTCACTATCTTTATGTTTCCATGCTTGTATTAATGCTTACCACATATGTCTATATTCTCCAGGCAGAGTTCAGATCACAATAAGGCAAGGCTAGGAAATGCAGGCTGTGTTCCAGAGAAAAGGAAATGGTTTCTAAAGGATACATAGCTATTATCCGCCATGCAAGATTTTTCCACTATGTGAATTTGCTGATATTTGCTGAGGTGTGATTTAAGCAAGTTTCTGCATTCACAGAAGCCTTTCTCCCATGTTGAGTTCTCTCATGCTTGCTGAGGTGTGAAGTCTGGCGAAAAGCTTTTCCACACTGGCTACATCCATAGGGTTTCTCCCCAGTGTGTGTCATCTGATGCTTAGCGAGGTACGACTTATAGGCAAAGGATTTTCCACAGTCATTACATTTATAGGGTTTCTCCATGGTGTGTGTCATCTGATGGTTAGTGAGGTAAGTTTTCTGTCCAAAGGATTTTCCACACTGATCACATCCATAGGGTTTCTCCCCAGTGTGGATCATCTGATGTTTAGTGAGGTAAGTCTTTTGGCCAAAGAATTTTCCACACTGATTACATTTGTAGGGCTTCTCCATAGTGTGGATTGACTCATGTTTAGTGAGGTGTATCTTCTGGCCAAAGGATTTTCCACACTGACTACATTTATAGGGTTTCTCACCCGTATGAGTACGCTGATGCTTTGTGAGGTGTATCTTCTGGCCAAAAGATTTTCCACAGTGAACACATTCATAGGGCTTCTCACCTGTGTGCGTACGCTGATGCTTTATGAGATGAGACTTTCTGTGAAAAAGTTTTCCACATTCATTACATTCATTACATCCTTTAGGTTTCTCTTCTGTGTGAATTCTTCCCCAGTGCCTCCGGAGCTGTGACTTCTTGCGAAAGGCTATTGTACATTTAGTACATTGATAGGGCTTGTCGGCACTGTGAATTTTCTGATGTATAGTGAGGGATGACTTACGGCAGAAAGTTTTCCCACATTCTTTACATTCATACAGTTTCCCCCAAGCATGAATACCTTCATGCCTCATGAGGTCTGACTTAGTGCTAAAGGCTTCTCCACATTCATCACATTTATAGGGCTTTTCCCCAATAGGAAAATTCTGCTGCATAGGAATGCCTGACTTATAGCTGGAGGAATTCTCACATCGATCGGATGAATAGGGTTCTTTCTCTGAATGTTTCTTCTGTTGTATAAGGAAGGTTTTCTCACATTCACAGGATTTCTCCCCTGTGTGTGTCTGATGTGTGGTGAGATCACAATTTTCATGAAGAGTTTTCCTTCCTACTGTAGCAATGAGAGCTGACTTCTCACAGGCTTTCCCAGATTCATTATGCTCCCAGCAGGCCTGTCCCATAGGAACCCTTTTATGTGTAATACATTCTTTCAATAATTTTGCTTCCCTGGTGAAGGCTTTCCATTGTCCACTATATTGAAAATCCTGCTGCCCAGTTGGCATCTTGGGATGCTGACTGAAATGCTCAGGACATCTCAGGGTCTTCCCAGTTAGATGGCACTGATTAGGTTTCTCTCCAGCATCCATCTCACCAGACTCACTGGGGAGATCCACCATTGCTGAAGAGTCTCCATTAGTTGTAACCAAATCTAAACTTTGGCTGGAGCTGAAATCAAAATTTGACTCAAGGACTTTGAGCTCAAATCCCAATTCAACTCTCTCCTCAGCTGATGTGTTGTTAGTGGTAAGAACAACTTGCCACAAATGCCATCCTTGACTCTTGTAGCTGGGCTCAATTACGTTACCCACTTTCTGGACATCTAAAATGAGCAAAAATAACTAGATGTAAACCACATCAAGACATTTCTTATAAAATGCTCATGTACAAGTAAAGGGAGATCCTCCTACCTCATAATAAACATTTTATAAAAATCATAATGCTCATTGGGTATAGGTATATAGTTTTCTTCCTATGGACTTTTATGTAATATATTACTGACACATTTTATAATCTTAAAAAGTTTTTGCTTCTTTTTACTTCATGAACTATTTTGCTAAAGTATTCAGCTACTACTGTTGATACCCTTCACAATACTCTGCTTTGAATGTGGCAAGAACATCTAGACCACCTAGTTATAAGATACCAGACAGGTCCAACTGCCTGTCACCTAAGCAGGCACATGGCAGATGGACAGACTTTTGAATTTACTTGTTCCATTTTCATTCTTCCTTGGGGAATGACTGTAGCCATATGACAGGGTTTTTTATTTTGGGTTTTTTTTCCCTCAGTACTGGGGATCGAACTCTGGATCTTGCATTTGCAAGGCAGATGCAGTGCCACTGAGCTAAATCCCCTGCCCCATATGGCAGTTTAAAAAATATAAATTCTCATTTTCCCACTGTAGGCAAAGGAAGTGTCTTCCAAATTTCTAATTTAACCTACTTTTACTTCTCAGAACCAAAACAAGTACAGGAAGCTTCTGTACAGGTCCATCTTCACGGACCACCACTTTAGAGCCCAACATTTGAAAAGTGTTTTTCTGGAAACTTCTGAGATCAACAGCCCTGACGCTTCCCCTGAGTCCATTACATGGGCCCATGCTTGCTCATTCACGGCCTCTGAAGGATACGGTCTCCTGCTTTCATAGAAATGGAGTCCTCTGTACATTTCTCATTCTCATAGTCAATTCAAACTCCAGTCCCAACCAGAAATCTGAACCCCTTCACACAGAACCTTTAGCTCATTTGCCCTTGGGACTAAGAACCTGATGGCACATTTTGAAATCTAAGGCCACCCTTTTCATGTTCCTATACTGGATCCTCCTGCTCAGTTTCATGATTTCTGATGGCATAGTTCACAAATACAATGATACAATTTCCAATAGTTAAAACCTGCTCTACTGCCTTGCAAGCCCAAGGTCCCGAGTTCAATCCCTGGTACAAAAAAAACCCCAAAAAACAAAACAAACAAACAAAAAACCTGCTCTAGGGCTAGGGCTGTTGCTAAGTTGGTAGAGTGTCACGCCAGTGTTCACCTCCCAGCATCACACCTACATGTGTGAAGCCCCACAATCTCCAAAACCACAAAAACAAAACGAAAAACTCCTTTTAAGGGCCACGTGCAGCTACTCAGGAGACTGAGGCAGGAGGATCACAAATTTAAGGCCACTTTGAGTAACTTAGGGAGACCCTTTATCAAAATACAAAATAAAAAGGGCTACGTAGGTCAGAGTGACACTGGGTTCAATTTCGGGGTGGGGGGGTGTTGTTATGCTTAAGTATAAAGGCATTTATCAGCAAATGTCTGACATCAACAAAAGAAGTCTACGATAATGGAAGATAAGACCCAACTGAGAATACTGAGAAAATAAAGACAAATCTATAAAAGGAGGACAGTGGGGATTAGGTTTGGGGTATATCTAAGAAAATATTCAGTAAAATAAACAGTGGGAAAATTATATGAGAGCCCTGCATGTCTGATGCATGCAGACCAGGCATCCTGAGCCTGGGACTTGGGGAAGACATTAGTGACCAAGACCTGAACACAGCCAGCATCTCCTCAGCTCCTCTCTTCCTGGTCTACCTGCCCAGTACACACTGACTGACCTGAGGGGCTCTGGTTTAGGGGTTCTTCTCCCATCCATGGCTCTGCTCCTTGCTCCAGCTTAAAGATCACCTCAGGTTTAGTGATGCAATGCCCTGTTAATTGGAAATAATGTATTTAAGAAACTGCTCTGTAAGTTTCTATGCAGAATAAAAACAGCTTCAAGCACTGTTCTATAAAGGTGCAAGGACGAACACTTCATTAGAGAGGGGGAACAACCAGAAGTTTACATCTTATACCTAGATGTCCCCCCAAAGCCTTGTGGGCTTATAGGTGGGGCTTTGGGGAGGTGACTAGATCACAGGTGTGTGATACTGGATTAGTCCACCCATGGGTTTACAGCTGGGTGTGATGCTGGGAGGTGAACACTGATGTGACAGGTGGGTTACTGTAGGCCTGGCCTAGAGATAGATATCACTCCTGCCTCCTCTCTTGAAGGAATGCTGCATCCTGCTGCCACGCCTTGAGCTTTCTTCTGTGTGATGCCCCTCTGCTATGCTGGCCTGACTTGGGCTAACTATGGAATCAAGCCTCTACAAACTGTAAGCTAGAAGAAATCTATCCTTCAAGTTATAGGTGTTGGGTATTGCTTCAGCAATGAGAAACTAACTGAGAGATAGACCTAAAGCATTAAACCTTACTCCTGCTCACATATTTACTAAGAAGGAGCCCGTTCCAGTGACGGGGATTTCACTCACCCAGCAACAGTAGGCTGCAGTAGGTCTCCAGCATCACGTCCCTGTACAGCGTCCTCTGAGCATCATCCAGGACCTGCCACTCCTCCCGAGTGAAGCTCACAACCACGTCCTCAAAGGACACCGACACCTGTAAGAGAACATCTCCCACTCGTCAGCCCTCACTCATCACCACAACAGTAATCTCAAAGTTCTGAATTTTGAGGGGGTAGGAGGAGCTCTTGGTAATACACATCTTACTTTTATGGTGGGGGAAAGGTCACAAACTAGCCTACATTATAATTATTTGCTAACTACAAAAAGGAGTATTACAGAACTTATACCTTCCAAGTCTAAAATCCTAGTTGCAAGGATTAAAATGTGAATAAAATTTTGCTTCATCAAGGAGCCTACAATTTGGTATGAAGAAGAAATAAGTATGAATACATGCACACACTAATTTGTTACATAACTAATTTAGACACAATGTCAATGTAAATGAAGCAAGGAGGGAGAAAATATTGTTCAGTATTAGGAGGTTGCACTTCACTGAAAAACCAAAAATGTTAAGCTTTTTTTTTGGTACCAGAGATCGAACTCAGGGACTTGTGCATGTGTGGCAGCCTGTGGCACCACTGAGCTAAATCCCTGGCCCTCCAAAAATGTTAAGCTCTTCCCTCTGTGAACCAGGGATTCTCATGTCGACAGGCAGCAGCATCAGTCTAGTCACAAGCACAGAATCAACACAACCACGTCAACAGAACCACCGCAGTATTGTGTCTGGGTCCATGACCCTGGTCTGTGATGAGAAATAAACACAATACTGAAGGAAGTCATGCAGTGTGTGGGTCTGCATATATCTGAATATATATATATATTTGAATATATTCTGCATGTATTTGAATATATTCCAACAGAAAACACAGTTTAGGCATCTGTTGTTTTTTAATTACATTTAAGTTAAAACCATGCACAAAGGGCCAGGGATTTAGCTCAGTGGTTTCGCCGCCTGCCTCCCAAGTGCAAGGTCCTGAGTTAGATGCCCACCACCAAAAATAAAAAATAAATAAAAATAAATAAAACCATGCACATGGCACCACACTCTTTCCTTCCTACATGCCAAATGAGTCCCTGAGTTTACTCCAGGTGAGCACTGCCACTACCCAAATGGCAGGATGTAAGTAATAAGGTCCTAAAAGAACAGACAGGTAACTCAGCAGATCTGCATTTCAACAGTCAGCTCCCAGAAGGGCAACTGGAAAGGCTTATGGGAGAATCAGGGGAAGGAAGCAGAGTGAGACCTGCTGACCTCCGACAGGATACAGAGAAGTAAAACTGCACCACAGCAAAGGAACCCTACTACCACAGACATACTGAGAAGACAAAGCAAGGACAGAACCTGCTACTGACTGGCTGAGCAGAGGAACAAAAGGACCCTGTCCTTCCAGCTACCTCCATGACCACTGCTAGTTACATACTGGGATCATAAAGTAAAATATCTAAGGATCTCAAACAACTTCACGGGAAAATAATAATAAAAATAATAACCACTTGATTTCAAAATGGGTCAACAGATGTAAATATACATTTTTCTTTAAAGAAGACATACAAACAGTGACCAAAGATACAAAAACATATTTAGAATCACTGCCAGGAAATGCAAATCAAAATCACAGTGAATACACCTCAGTCCTGTAAATGGCTTTTATCAATAGGCAAAAGGATAACAAGTGCTGATGAGGATGTGGAGGAAGATAAGCCCTTACACACTGTGGGTGGGAAGAAAACATTATGACAGCCAGTGTGGAAAACAGGATGGAGGTTCCTCATAAAGTTAAACAGAATTACCAACAATATCACCCAACAATCCCACTACCAGATAAGTGTCCAAAGGAAATGAAACCAGCAGGTAGCAGAGATGCCTGCCTCCTGTCACCGGCCACCCAGATTCGTATGCTCAGGTTCATTTGCTCACCCTTGACCAAATCGAAGGAGGCTGTATATTTTGTTTAAAAGGAAAAAGGATTTATTCAAAGCTCGGTCCAAGGAGATAGAAGGACCCATCTGCCTCAAAACACCTTTTTCTCTTGTACAGGTGGGTGAGGATCTTTCATAGTAAGGAACAGAGGGGAGGGGAGCACAGAGAGAGAATGCGGATTTCCACACTTGCTTTAGCACTTCCAGCCATCTTTAGCTCTTTGTCCTCCTTCTCTGAGAAAGGAAATTGGGCTCCTGAGTCCTAAGGCCAGCATCTGCACATCCTGTCCAGCATTCATCTGGGCTGAGGAGAGGAGGAGGTGTTGGTTATGTGCTCAGCAGAAGTTTGGAGAAATTGAGTATCTCTAAATGGAAATCCAATTTTTAAAGTTCAATTTAAGTTGCTGGTTACACTCCCATGTTTACTGAAGCAGTATTCACAGTACCAAAGAAAAGATATCAACCTACCCACAAACTGATGAAGAAAGTAGTGTACATATAAACAATGGACACCACTCGGCCATTACAAACAATGAAATACTGTCATCTGTCTCAATATAGATAAACTAGAGGATGTTATGTTAAATGTAATAAGCCAGGCACAGAAACAAAGAACACACGATCCACTCCCATATGGAATCCAAAGCATTGATCTCAACAGAGGTGGAGAGCAGAATATGCATTTACCAGAGGCTGGGAAGAGTTAGGGGAGATGCAGGGTCAGGAAGGTTAGAGAATGGGCACCAGGGCCAGGGATTTAGTTCAATGGCACTGTGCCTGCCTGGCAAGCGCAAAGTCCTGAGTTCAATCCCCAGTACCCAAAAGAAAAAAGAAAATGGGCACCAAGTTACATTATATAAGGCCGGGGATTTAGCTCAGGGGTGCTGCCGCCTGCCTCGCAAGCACAAGGACCAGAGTTCGATCCCCAGTATCAAAAAGAAAAAATACATTATATAGTAAGAGGGGCCGGGGATTTAGCTCAGTGGTGCTGCCGCCTGCCTTGCAAGCACAAGCTCCTGAGTTTGATCCCTGGTACAAAAAAAAAGCAAACATTATATAGTAGAGATAACTTCCAGTTTTATTGCATGAAAGGGTGACTATAAATACTATTAATGGACCCGGGGATTTAGCTCAGTGTTGAACGAGCCTGCCTTGCAAGAGCAAGTACCCGAGTTTGATCCCCGGTACCCAAAACAAAACAAAATAAATACTATCAATGTACTGTATATTTTTAAAACACCTAGATTCTTTTGAAATGAAAACTGTGATAGCATTTACATTAGCCTCCCCAAAAATGAAAGCCTTAAATATAAATCTAACAAAATATGTACAAGATCTTTATTAGGAAAACTACAAAACTCTGATGATTGAAATTAAGGAATTAGGGGCCGGGGATTTAGCTCAGTGGCACTGAGCCTGCCTCGAAAGTACAAGGTCCTGAGTTTGATCCCCAGTACGGGAAAAGAAAGAAAAAAAAGAAATTAAGGAATTAAATAAGTGGAGATATAGTGCATGTTTGCAAATCAATGGGAAGACTAAGTTTTGATGTTGAGACAGCCCTGACTCTGCTCCCCTCTGAAACATACCAGACAAGGTATAGAAGCCAACCCATATGGCCGCTGATTCCTGACCCACAAAGTCACAACCCATAATGAGAATTCCAGGAAGTTTTGTGGCACTTTGAAGAGAAGATGATTGCAACATCTTAACAGTCCTTAGATACCATACAAAGTACCTTAGTTTCAAGCACTGAGTGTGTAGATTTAGACTAAAATTTAGGCTTGAAATAAATGGTTTAGAAGTGTGGAGTACCATGCCTGGCTCTGAAACTGTGCATTTAAGATGTCCAGTTACTGAGGTTGTCATTTTTCATTCTTACTGCGATATAAACTACAGGGACAGTGCAAAAAACAATGCTGTGACCACTGGACTCATCCATTTGTCCTTATCTATTGTAAAACAGAATATAGCAGAGGAATCAAATGTACTATTTTAAGAGTTTGAGAATGTAACAGATCTTTTTGAATTATAATTATACAATTCTGTATTAATAAAACTGCAGGTGGAAGCCTGGAATGCTGGGGCATCACTGTAATCCCAGCTATGTGAGAGGGTGATACAGAAGGATCAGAAGTTCAAGGCCAACCTGGGCAACTCAGCAAGAACCTGTCTCAAAATATTTTTCAAAAGGCCTGCAGATAGCTGGGCATGGTGGCACACACTTGTATTCCCAAAACTCTGGGAGGCTGAGGCTGGAGTATCACAAGTTCAAGCCCAGCCCAGGCAACTTGGGACTGACTTAGTGAGACTCAGCCTCAAAATAAGGAACCTTTTTCAGAATGGCTAGGATATAGCTCAGTGTGAGGGCCCTGGGTTCAATCTGCACTATAGGGAAAAAATAAAAGCTATGGAAAGAAATCACTGGCATCAATACAGATAAGAAAAAGCTGTAAATTTTGAAAATATATGTTTCTTGTTTTTATTCTGTGCATATCTCTTTATTGACTTTCATTCAAATGTGTCCCACTAATTCCTGAATGCTTTCTCCCACTAGCTCCTGAGGATGTCACATTCTCTATTTCAGCACTGTTCCCAAGGGATTGAACTTCATCACTGAGCAAACATGCCCTTCAGGTTCTGCTAGAATTGACATTTCCAAAGTTATTTCACTGGTCCACAAACATGATCAGCTCCTTCCCCTAGGCTGGCACTGTAAAACAATAAAATAAAATGAAAAGAATGTTAAGAGGTACAGAGGTAGACAACAGATGAGATTAGACATGAGGGAGAGGAAGGAATCCAGGAAATTTTTCATTTTTCAGGGTTGGGGCACTAGCAAGATTTGATACTGTATTTAAATTGTATTTATTTATTTCTTTGGTGGTACCAGGGATGGAAATCAGGACCTTGCGCTTGCCAAGCAGTTGATACTGTATTTAACGGGAGAGAAGGTTGTGCTTCTCTTTTTGTGTTTGTTGGGGTTGAAATGTCTTTTTGGAAAGATACATAGATGATCCAACAGGGAGTTAAATCTCTGGGACTTGAAGTTCTGGTCTAATGCTGAGGGAATAGGTCCAAGCTGGAGAAAAGAGGAGAAATGCAGAGTGCAAAGAATGGGATCCAAGACGTGGAGAACATGGAGGAGCTATGTAAACAAGCAGAAAAATGCAAAAGAAAACAAGGAAGCAAAGAAAACATCACAAGAAAGGCTGTGACAGTAATTAACAAAGAACTCTCAGGAACAGAACATGGAAAACAATTGCAAATTATTAATGAACTCATGAAAACTGAACTGAGACAACATTGAGCCGGTCAAAGTGCAAACGGGCAGTGGGGACCATTGGCCAGGAACCATCACTCGGACCAGTCTGCTGCACGCGCCACGTGTGAACACGGGCTGGGACACAGGTACAAGACAGTCACTGAATGACTCGTGGTCAACTCAATCCTCCAGACAGACAAGCTTTCATCCATGAATTGATCACCACCTTGCAAAAGCTGCCTGGCAACACAGTATTTCAGCAACTCCAGAACAATCTGATTAAAAGTTTTCCTTCTTACGCTGAGGAATGTGAGAAGTATTCAAGACAGTGGTGAAAAACGATCTACTACATCCTTTATGTGACCGCTGAAGATAATGTTTTAGCTCCTGGTGTAAGCAATCACATCCCATGACAAGTCACCATGTTCTCTTCTCAGGTTCCGTCCAAATCATGTGCCAAATGTGTCTGTTGTTTATCATGAAATCAGAAAGGCCAGAGACAAATTTACTCATCAGTGACGTCTCTGAAGTCTTTATCTACATGCCGATTCTGTCTTATTTATGTCCACTTTCCTAAAGCTGAGTTTTACACATTTCTACAAGTCCATTTTAATTCATAGATACCATAAAGCTGGTAAAATACAATGTAAAACAAGCTTAGGAATAAATAAGCCACTCACCAGAGATTTCTTCATTTTTTTGTTGGTCTTGGGAACACACAGAAGACTGTGTCCATACAGAGGACATTTGGAGGAGGACTCAGGATGGATAGCTGAGAGAAGACAAATGTGGGAAAGTCAAGAGAGAACAGGCAGGCTAGGTCCTAGATTGTTCCCCTCAAAACACTCCACATATTAGCAGAAAAAGACCAAAACAAAAACAAAAACAAACCCTCTGTAGAAGTACAGTCTTACACAAGAAAAAGCAAGAAAAGCCGAACATGGTGCCACATGACTGAGCCAGGAAGATTACAAGTTCAATTTCAAGGCCAGGCTGGGCTATTTGTAGTCCAAGGACACTCTGGACTACAGAGTGAAGCCTTGTCTCAAAAAAACAAAATGGGGCCAGGGATTTAGCTCAGTGGTGCTGCCGCCTGCCTCGAAAGCACAAGGTGCTGAGTTTGATCCTTGGTATCAAAAACCCCAAAAACAAACAAAAAAATTTATGGCAGTGGGAATAAGAGGAATAAGGACCCACTGAACACGTACCTACATATTCAGATGTTCAGTCATCAGTAGAGATTAGATATAAAATTGATTACTGGGTTAATGAAAACATACATTAGCAACTGGTTTACCAACAATTAATAGTCCCTTAATAATTAACTTAGTAGGGCTGGGGATTTAGCTCAGTTGTTTCCATGTCTGCTGCGCAAGCGCAAGGACCTGAGTTCAATCCCCGGTACCACAAAACAAACAAACAAAAAATTAACTTAGTAATTTAAACCAGAGCACCATTATAACTTGATTTGCATCAGTGTCACAGGAATGCCCACGGACTACATGAACTCTTCTATTAATGCCCCACAGGGCCCATGAGAGCATTTCCACTACAACATCTCTGGGTTTGACATACCCAGTTTTCTGAAAAATATGCATGTATAGGGCCAGGGATTTAGCTCAGTGGTGCCACCATCTGCCTAGCAAGCACAAGGTCCTGAGTTGGATCCCCGGTAACAACAACAAAAAAAAGCATCTATAGCTCAACATGTTCTGCCCATGTTCATACAGGAAAACAATGTATTTAATGTACACTTCTTGTGATGCCCTGTTCCAGTACTGGTTCCCCATGAGGCACCTCCATGTACCCACACCCTCTAACAGTCCCCAAGGATGAGAACCCGGGCTTTGCCACTGACTTGATTTGGCCAAAAGGACGTCACTGAACGTGATGCAAACCGAAGCTTGAAAAGAACTGGCTCACTGGTGCTTGTCTTCCTGGACACAGTCAGACTGTGAGAAAGCCTGGGGCTCCCGCTCTCCAGACACGGGGTGGGGGGGGCCCCTCCCTGCCCTAAGAGGAGCACAAACACCTGAGGGAGTGAAGTCATCTGGAACCAGCCAACCTGAGTCAAGGCCCCAGGGGACTGAAGGCTCATCTGTGACCCCAGGTGTCACCAGTATAGGAATCTTCCAGGTGATTCCAGTTCAAATCAAATGAGATGGTTTCTTCTTTTAAGCCAATAAATTTTGGTTTATGTGTTACACAGCCAAGGCTGATATATGTAAAGACTTAGAATCCAATATTTTTAACATATTGGGGAAGTGAGGAAAAAAATCCTTCCAAACTTGAAAACAACAATAAACATTAAGGATGGACTGCAGTGTAGCTAAAGCTATATGGTCAAACAAACCAATGTCTGGAGATGAGAACGGTAAGGTTTTTACAACTTATCAAAAATCTGTTTCTTGCATGTGAACACTGAAATTGTTTGTTACATGTTATTGGCTTGAAGCAGTCTAATCTTCCCTTTTCAAATAACGTGAAATTGATAGTGAAAAATTGCTAGCTTCTAAGAACAGATTACTGACACTAAGTGGGAAATACATCTGTTACTAAGTCTTTCAGATCACATAGTGTACAGCAAGTACTGTGGATAGGAAGGGACAAGTATACTTGGGACAGGTACTTTAAAGCAACATTCCAAGCTGGGGATTGTAGCTCAGTGGCTCAACAATTCCCTATCAGGTGGGGCTGGGGATTTAGCTCAGTGGTTTCGCCGCCTGCTGCACAAGCGCAATGACCTGAGTTCGATTCCTCGATACCAAAAAAAAAAAATTGTGCCTATAATTCCCTATCAGGTCTGATACTTGGTGACTGAATGACAGCACAAAAAATACTCAGCTAAACAAAACAAACACTGGCTGAAAACAGTATTCCTTTAAAGCTGACTTCAGTGTTACCCAAATGATCTCAAAAATAAGCAAACTCTTCTTTTCAATGTGCAGAATAAATTACATTAGCCAGAAAGTCAAGAAGCACCTGACATCAATGGAATCTGTGACCCTGGACAGGTCACTTATCTACTCAAAACCAATGTTTTTCATCTTTCTACAAAGCAGAAATACTTTGCCTAATCTTTCCAGAAATAGGATAAAGGGATTATCATAAGACATCAAATTTGTTAATAATTTAGGTTCAAGGAGTGCACACTCTAGAAACAAGGGAAAATGGAAGAAATACGTATGTTCAGAGAGCAATGTGAAAGGTCTGCTGAAGGTCACAGGATGTCCTTCCACACAACACACCTTCAAGACCCTTCCTTTAACTAACACTCCCCTTGCAGAACTTTCTCACTTTGGAAGCTAGATCTTGCCAAGAACTTCTGTAAACTCGAACAAGGATACTAGTTAGGCTACACAGTGCGTAAACAGAAATGTCACTTGCTGAAGAGACACTAAGAAGCTCACAGATACAACTGCCACATCGCTGAACTCCATCCACACATACCTCACAATCATTCTCTGGGAAATTGGGGACCCTCCTTAGGACCGTGTATTACGGCTCTCTTCAGGAACAGAATCTATAGAAAACATGCGTATACTTATGCAAGGGGGCTTACCTGTAGGCTTACAGAATCAGAGGTCGGGGAGTCCACAATGGCCGTCTGAGCGAAGGAGAGCCAGAGGATCCGGTAACTACACAGCCTAACAAGGAATCCATAGAACTAGAGGGATCAAGGATACAGCACCAATCCAAAGATGAAGGCCTGGAAGTTCGCTGGAGAGCGGCGCCTGCCAGTCTGTGCAGGGAAACAAGAAACTGGAGAGGTGGAGAGCCATACCAAAGGTGACCGCAACAAAACACTCACCTGCTCAATTGAACAACTGAGCGCTTCAAAACCCAGCACATGGCCCTCCATCCGGGCCACAAGCCTATTGGCTGGTGCCACCCACATCCGGGGCGGGTAATTGAGCCTCAGTTGGCTGGCCCACACGTCAATCACTAACACACCCAGAAGTGTGCTTACAGCTGTAGCCGGCTAGGTGTCTATACGCCATTCAAGTTCATCGGTTGCGATTAAGGGCCGCAGACTGTTCATCCCCTCGTCTCAAAGAAACAGATGTAAACTGAGGTCACACTGGTAAAAACAAGCTCGCTCGGAGGTGGAGCTGCCCAATTCCCGTGGTCTTCAGACCCCGGCCCTGACACGTGGACCTCGCCGGGCGACCGTCTCCCTCGCAGCTTCTGAAGCCACGCAAGCCGACACCTGGAGCACTAGCTGGCCCTGACCCAGCAGTCAGGAAAGCACAGTCGAGTCGCCCCTCCCAGCACGGGGCTCGTGTCGCCTCCTGGGCCCGCTCGGGTCCGCCCTCACCCGTGCACCGCAGGTCCCGCCGCCCGCACCCTCTTGCGTTCCCGCCGCCGCCAACGGCCAGATACTCGTCCCACTCTTCAGGATTCAGATGGGTCTTTCGCCCTCCCACCAACCTTCAGAGCCTCAGAACGCAAGCCCTCAGCCAGTACAGCAGCTGTGGGGCGGGGCAAGACCCGGAACTTCCGGTACGAAGATGGCGGTTGTGGGCGGGACTAAACGGACGCAAGAAAAGAGCGAAACGCTGTTTCCGGTTGTGTGTGACGTCTTTGAGAAGTTAGATGGCGCTTCTCACATCTTTGCGTGGACCTGCTAGAACCAAGTCGTGGTCGCTTAGTAGGGCGTCTCTCTCGTGGCGGGGAGTTCAGGATCTGATGGTTTGGGACTGGTCCCTAACCGCACGACATCGACGGGGAATGCTATATGGGTATGTAACCAAAGCTCTAAAGGTCTTCCCTTCTTCACCAAGTGTTCTACACTAAACCACACCTCCAAAGTCATGATTTTTATTATCATTATTAATTTCTTAACTTATTGACAGTGCCTCGTTAAATTGCCCAGGATGACCTAAAACTTCTGATGCTCCTTCCTCAGCCACCTGAGTGACTGGGATTACAGGCGTGGGCCAGCACATTTAAAAGTAGTGTGGTTATAAAACCCACCTCCGTTGTGTACACCTGCATTCTAGGACATGAAAAGTCGTGCTTGCTTTGGCAGCACATATACTAAAATTGGACAGGAAAAGTCATTTAAATTTGTGAACAAGAAATTCATATGCTTTCTTCAAACCCATTTAAGAGAAGTGGTGGCACTCGCCTGTAATCACAGATACTACTCGTGAGGCTGAGCAGGATCACACATAAAAGCCAACCTGGGAAAATTAGTGAGACTTTTATCTGAAAATCAATAATAGGGCTGTGGGTGAAGCTGAGTGCTAAGGTCCTGGGTTCCATTCCCAACCCTCCCCCTCCAGTACAATAACAAAAATTAAAAGATAAAAAGAGCTACAGATGATAGCTCTGCAGTGGTAGAGCCCTTGCCAACATGCATCAGGCCCTGGGTTCAATCCCCAGTAAGACACAAAAAGAAAATATTGGTTGTCACTCATTAATTTGTGCACTTTTGGGTGGCTGTAATAATCAGCTGGAAAACACTGCTGTCATGTAGGTACTGGAATAAAACAGGATCTTAAGGAGGTGCTGTCTTAGTTATTTTCTCATTGTTGGGACAAAATAGCCAGTCACCACACAAGTTAAAGGAGGAGAGGTTTATTTTATCTGACAGTCTGTAGAGGTTCCAGGCCATAGTTGCCTGGCTCCAAGGCAGAGAGGTGTGGCAGAGGAGGAGTTCATGGCAAGGGAGGCAGGAAGCAATAGCCATCAGAGGAGGAGGAAGAATGTACATACATCCTTCCAGGCCACACACATGGTGACCCACCTCTTCCGACCAGGCTTCACCTCCCAACATCACATCCAGCTATAAACCTATCAGTGGACTAATTCATTATCGCACACCCAAGGATGCGGTCACGTCCTAAAGGCCCACCTATGAGCATATGAAACTTGGGGCGGGGGAAGGGCATCTAGATATAGGCCTTAATGTGTGCATTCTGTAATCCCTGTGGGTGTCACACACCCCAGTGTCTCAATGTAGTACTCTGTTGTATATGTACATTTTTCTTATCCATTCAGGAGGTAGACATATAGGCCACCTCCAAGATTTAGTTAGCTATTATGAGTTGAACTACTATAAACACGGGTATGCATAGATCACTGTAATATGATGGCTTAGCTCTCCTGGGAAGGTACCTAGAAGGAGACTAGCTGGGTGGAATGAGCTGCACACGAGGCTCTTGGTATGAATTCTGTGCACCCAAGAGGCAGCACAGGATGCTGAGTGCTGTATTCAGGGTTGGCTGCCAGCCTCCTGTGCAGTTCCATAGAAACCCTGAAACTCCATTATGGTATATATCTCCATTTCCCTCCAAAGCCTTGAGTTCATAGGTGGGGCTTTTAGGGGGTGACTGGATTGTGAGATACTGGACTAGTCCACTGATGGGCTTATAGCTGGGTGTGATGCTGGGAGGTGAAGCCCAGTAGGAAGAGGTGGGGTAGGTACTGGGGGCATGGCCTGGAGGGTATATATACATATCCCTCCTGCCTTGATGGCTGTTGCTTTCTGCCTCTAGTGCTCCTCTGCCATGCTGCCCTGCCTTGGAACCACCCAGATAAGGACTGAAGCCTGACCTGCAATAAACCTTTTCTCCTTTAAATAATGGGTGGTGGGTAACATGTCGAGCAAGGAGAAAGTAGCTAAGATATCACCACATCCTGCACTAGGTGACCGAGCAGCCCAGCCAGGGCACATCCATGCAGTTCAATAGCTTCTTAGTAGGGGGGTAACTAGCGTCTGGACAAAGACGTGGGTACAGCTTGCACACATGCTGCTGAGTGCAAGAAGCCAGTCTGGGAGGATGGCGTGGAGGGAAAGTAAAAATTATGATGCACATGTGTATGTCATGCGTTGCTACATGTTATGTACACGCAGCAACCCTCCATAATCATCATGTACTGCAAACATGTACTAATAAAAGCTGAAGTTTAAAGAAAAAAGGGCTGAGAGAGATGGGTCCTGGAAAATTGAGAAACAGATGTAAATCGGTTGCCAGGAGAGAGGTGGGGATAAGAGTGGGATAGGAGTGACTGTGAGGCTGGGGATGTAGCTCAGTGCTAGCATGCCTGCCTGGCAAGCACACCATCCTGAGTTTGATTCCCAGAGAAAAAAAGGGGGGGTGACTGAATGGCATGGTTTCTTAAGGGCTGATGAAATGTTCTAACACTGCCTGTGTAGATGGTTGTACAACCATATGACTAAACAATTAAATGGGTGTTACACAGTATGTGACATACTCAATATTTTAATAAAGCAGATATATACATTTCAGCCAGTCTGAAGAGACTGCACACTGGTCCCATTTCATGAGATTCTAGAAAGGGAGAAACTACAGAGATGATAAACACATCTGTGAAGCAGGTGGTCATAGGGGCCAGGAGTGCACTGAGCAGGCGACTGTGGTTGGTGTTGGAAGCATACACAAATGGACCAGGTCCAGACTGTTTTATTTTTATTCTATTTAAATGGGATCTTGTTCTGACAGAAACAAGGAACTGGGAGAGAAGACTGCTTAAGGTCCTCACTGACCACAAGCCAGTAGCTACACTGCACACACCTAGCAGCGCCCCTGGGGACCCCTGAAGCACCTCAAGAAACCCAACTGTAGTTTCCTCCCCACAGAGTACAGAGAAAGGGGCCAGACAGCATGAAAGCCTTGGTTCCATACCAGCACAGAGGCCATTCCTCTTCCTGTGAGGCAATGCAGCCCTTCTGCTTCAGTCCTTCCCATGTTTCTGTCCCCTGCCAGCTACAGCTTCGCGAAGAACAGGTTATCATCTTAGATGTACTTGTACACAACCTTTGAAGGCACAGTTTGGAGGTGGAGTCGCACGGGACACTTGTAAAAGTGTGACAGCAGAGTCTCACTATAGCCCACGAGGAAGTAGATCTTGTGTGCAGGCAGCTGCCTCAGGAGCAGGGCACAGATCTCCACCTGGTTGGCCCGGCGCTTCAGGACCACCTGGTCGGCCAGGCAGCCTGGGAAAGTGCCCATCATGAATTTCCGAAGGAATACATCCTCCACCGTTCGCTCTGCTGCGTGGTCCTCCCCATCCAGGTTACCTGAAGAGAAGGCACTGGAGAAGTCCACCTTGTTCCCGGGAACTGCCAAGGCTCCAGAGCTCACAGCCAAGAGCACTGGGACCTCAGTTCCACCCCTTGCCCCAGCCTCTTCCTTTTCTTTTACTCATAGAACAAGAAATAAAACATTTTAAAGTTCAAAGCACATTTTTTCATGCCAGGCTGGTGGCAAAGGTCTGTAATCCCAGCTCCTAGGCAGGCAGAAGCAAAAGGCTCACAAGTTGGAGGCCAGCTTTGGCAACTTAGCAAGACCCTGTCAAAACCTCAAATAGGCTGGGGATGTAGCTCAGTGCTAGAGTGCCTGATTTAAAAAAAAATTTTTTTTAAGATACATTATTTTATTAATTTCCAATCCAACCCTGTGAACCGAGTACTATCACTGTCCTCCTTTCTCAAAAGGGAAGACCAAGCCCTGAACCAGGACACAAAACAGGTGACAGTTCCACATCCAGCCCCTTTCACAGTCTTTCTTGGCTGGTTCTAGGAGCACAGGTCATACCATGAGCTAAACAGATGAGGCTCCCAGCTACTTATTTATTCACTCATTTTTGTGGTGTCAAGGAATTGAATCAAAGAACACAGGGATCTAGCTCAGGTCCACAGGCCCTCCTATTTCAAGACACTATATATAATGTATATCATTAATTCATTATTACCAAACCCTCAGGGAGCGGTACTGTAACTCAGGCATGAACAGAGCTGCAAGCTCACCTAATATTTATTTCCTCCATGAGGCACATACCAGCTTTCTGGTGCTCAGGAATGGGCAACAGTGCTTTAGGGCCATTTTAAGTAGCAAAATCAACAAAAAAACTTAAAAATCTGGCTCCAAACTGTGAAAAGGGCACAGTAGGGGAGCTTGTTGCTCTGCCCATGACCCTGTAGGACTTTGAAAGTGTCACAGTATGGGGCGGAGATTTAGCTCAGTGGTGCCACCGGCTGGGTCACAACCCCAAGGTCCTGAGTTTGATCCCCGGTACCAAAAACACCCAAAAAACTTTAGTCAGTAGAAGAGCCAGAGCCCAGACTGGGCAACTTAGGGACTTCACCATACTTATCTCAAAATAAATTTTTTTTAAAGGGCTGGAAATGTAGCTCAGGGAGAAGGCTTTGTGTTCAATCCCGGTGCCCCAGTACCGCCAAAAAGAACAGAGGAAAGAAATGCAGGGGCTGGGGATGTAGCTCGGGGGTAAATCCCTTGCCTAGCATCCATGAGGTCCAGTACCACCAAAGAGGTTTGGTTGCACATACTTGTAGAGAAAACTGCGCTTCAGTGGAAAACTGCGTTATTCAGGGCACACCTGGGTGCCACGGAGGCCTCAATTACTTCTGAGCTATTTTACATCTCTATATTACAGAAAACTTAAGCAGTGCAAAATCTTGTCTTCAGACATGTAAATAACTTCTGTTCCGTGGAGCCTCCATTGTCCCTGGGTCCCCAAAGTCACTTTTGCATTCATCTGCAAATTCAGTACAACGTCCTATCTTTGGTTTGTTACTACTTCTCTGAACTGATTTCTGATCCCGCCCTTAATGCCACCTTCATGCCACCCCGGCTCCGCGGCCGAGACCCTCACCTGTGTGCAGCGACAGCCAGCCCTTCCGGTGGGCGATGTAGTGCGGGGCAAACGCCTCCTCATAGGTCACCGGCTTGTCCCCTTTGCTCACGCGCACTCGGGCCGCCCGGTTCTGGGAGCGAAGGCGCCGTCACCGCGCGGTCGCGGTCCCGGCTCCGCCCGGCCCCGCCCTTCCCGGGGCAGCGCTCACCTTGGCGCAGACCGCAGAGGTGTGCAAGGCACGCCAGAGTCCGGGCAGCTCCCGGCTCGAGAACAGCACCTGCAGGGGAATGGGCGTGAGACAGGCGCCTGAAGCCCACCCGACCCTCCTGCCCGCCTTGCCCCCACTCACGCGCGGCCCCAACACCCAGCTGCTCATAGACGCCATCTTGCGCGTAACCAAACCCAGCTCCCGGGGGCGGGGGTGCGAGCCGGCGCGGGCGAGGCGGAGCTTCTTGAGGGGCGGGGCTTCAGAAGGCCCACGAGTGTGGGGGCGGGACCTCAGCAGGAGGGGCGGGGCCCGGGAAAGGGACAAAGATTTGGGTGGTGGGATCTCGGTGGTGGAAGGGGCGGCGGGGCCTCGGGAGTCCTTGATGTGAGAGGGGAGACAGCGGGTGGGGCGGGGGTCTGGGGGGGGGGCTTTGCCCGGCTGAGCTCTGTCCTGCCCCGCGCGGGTCCCTGAGGCTTTCAGACAGGCCTTGGTGCGGGCATCCGTTATCCATTAGCCATAATGCTCGGATTGGGCCGGGGATTTAGCTCAGTGGTTTCGTCACCTGCTGCGCAAGCGCAAGGACCCGAGTTCGATCCCCGGTACCAAAAAAACTTTTTAAAAAAGAAAAAAGAAATAATGCTCGGATAAGCCTCATTGGCTACCGTACTCGGCATTCGATATCAAACCCGGAAGTCTGGTGAGGGGAAACGTGAGCTTTCGTCCTCTGGGAGCGAGAGCCCGAGAGCAAAGCGTCCGGCTGCGGGCCGCGGGCGGAAAGGGCGCCGCTCCTCTAATGTCACCCTGCCCGGCTGGGCCTGCGGCCTCCCTGGGAAGGAGCGCTGTTTTCCCAGACCCTGGAAATTAGGCTGCCGAGCTCCGCCTCCTAATGCTCAAGCAGCACGAGGGCGGGAGCGCGCTTCTCACCGGCTCCCGCGCCGCTCCTCAAACGAAGACGAAAACTGTTCTGGTTGAAACTTTACCCAGTTCTTCCCAGTTATAGAGTTACAGAGACGGGGTGGTGGCCCCTTGAAAGGAAAAACTTCAAGTACCAATGAAATTCATGAGGCTGTGGCAGGGCCAGAGGCACTCAAACTAGAGTGGTGCCAAGTGTAATTGGTATCCAGTAATTCCGAATGTCAGAGGGGAAAATAACATCCCTGGATACATGCATGCAGGCTCTTGGTGCCCGCCTCATTTTGTTTGTTTTTCCTTTACTGGGGATTTAACCCAGGGCACATGGAGGCTAGACAAGGGTCTAGCACTGAGCTACATCCCCAGCCCATTTTTATTTTGAGACAGGGTCTTACCAAATTGCTAAATTGCCAAGAGTGTGTTCAAACTTGCCATCCTGAGTATTTTTTTCAGTTGAGCCTATAAAATGGGCTTATTAATAACTGTGGGACTTCAGGGTGGGCATTGTGATGCATGCCTATATCCCAGCACTTGGGAGGCTGAGACAGGAGGATCACCAGCAGGCCTTCCTGGGCTACATAGTGATTTCAAGGCCAGCCTGGACTACATAGTGAGACCCTTTTTTCAATAATTATTATTATTATTATTATTGTATGACTTCACAGAGCTGTTAGGATCAAGAGGCTACAATATTTAATAAATGATACCTGCTCTTGGTTGCATTATGTTGAATCAGGTGAAGTTGCCAGTATTTGCTAATGGAACCTGCAGGGTTCATGCCAATGGCGTTTGAACCCTATTTTGGTTTCTTGGGGCATGGGGGTGGGGATTTGATGATCACCAAGAGAGGGAAATGTAAGCAAAAATGATTGAAGCATTGCCCACGGTCACATGGGCAGAGGTAGAGAGCCTGCAAGACTGTAAGTGTCTTGGTTTCAGCCTGGCCCATTTCCACAGCCGTTATTCCTCTGGGCACTTGAATCTGTGTCGTCAAAAAATTCTTACTAAAAGGACAGGCTCTTTCATCCTTACCTCACTAGTATTGTTTTACTTTTAATTTTTCAAACTGCACCTCCAACTGTTCTGAACGTTAGATAACAGACACATGGGTGTAGTGTTCCCTGGAATCCACAATTCCTTGTAAATGTGCGGTAGGAACTTTGCATTTTTCCTAAAAGGTCCTTTTAAACTGACAAGATTTGTTTTTGTTTCTGTTTTGGTTTTTGAGGTTTGGTCTTGCTATACAGCCCAGGCCAGCTTCTGCCCCTTGGCACATCTCACCCTCTCAGGGATGGAATCTTTGATTCTCCCCTTTCTTGTCCTCCCTACCACCTGGAAACAAAGCAAAATGAAAGCACCAACTCCCCAGGGAGGGGCAGTAGCCAGTGGGGGAAAGGATGAGGACAGAAGGGAGGAGAGCAATCTCAGTGAGGAGGAAAAGCCCACAAATCCCTGGTGTAGGAGAAAGGATAGGAAAAAACGGAAGTACAGTTTAACAGGGCAGGTTTATTTCAGAACAAGCCTGAGAGGGACTGCTCTGCCACTAGAGAGGAGACCAGCAATGATCCTACAGGCTTTGGGGTCTCTTGTAGGGTCCTGGGTAGGGTGAGTTCATGAAGGAGGGCTGTGGTCCCTGCCAAGAATAAGGCTTAACAGAGGTTGCCCAAGGATGAGGCTTGGGAAAGCAGTGGCTGCTTTTTGTTGTTTGTTGTATTTTGGGTTTTTTTTTACCACGTAGTCCAGGGTTACCATGTAGCTTGGCTGGCCTACTCACTAGGTAGCTCAGGCTGGCTTTGAACTCACAGTGATCCTCCTGCCTCAGCCTCCTGAGGGCTGGGATTACAAGTATTCGCCACCATGCCCCTGGCTGGGGCTACTACCAATACCTGGCTGATGATGTTGAGTCCCTGGGTGCAGCTGCGCTGGGAAGAAGTGGTGTAGAGGGGTCTCAGATCAGACAGCAGTTGGATTCCTTTACCTGGGATAAGGAGCAAGGTGCTAGAGAGGAGAGGGGTTTAGGGCAGAGGTTGTCCTGTCCTCTGTCCAGGGGACTTCAACACAGCTGAGGGGACAGGTGTGTGTAGGGTCAGCTCTGATAGGGAGAAGAGAGGAACAAGGAAATTGGTGAAGCCTGTGGAATTCCCCTACGAGTGCATTTCTTCCTCTTTCCTTCTGTTAGTGCGGCCTAGTGAGGAGTTGGTGGGAGGACAGAGGGTGAGGTGATGTACCAAGGGTTTCCTGCTCTTCTCCCCCTCACCCTCAACCTGGAGCTCGCCAGAGCTGGAACAGAAGTGATTGAGAGCTCAGTGGCCCCTGGGCTGGAAAGAGCCCAGAGCCGAGGGCATCTTGGGGCTGCCTCTGTTGGCATTGGATAAACCCCACCAGCACCTTGGCTGCAGAGCCTGTGGGCATGGTAAGGGCCTTCGCTGTGCACTTTCATGTGGCTGAAATATAAACCAAGCTCAGCATCTTGCCACGCACACCTGGTACCTGCTCCTGGTGTCCTACCTTTGTAGCAAAAGCCACCTCACACTTCTGCCATCTGAAGGGCCAGACTACTGAGTGCACTTGTCCGATGTGACTGCTGAGCTGATCTGGCTGGGGATGTGTTGGAGTTAGGGGTGAGGGAGTGCACCCCAAATCTACCTGGCTTCCTCCAACAGAACCATTGTACCTGCTCCTAAAGCGCCACGGTCCTACTTGGGCAAGAAATCCCTCCCCTCAAACCAGCTGTCACCTCTTCAACCCACAGTTCCAGAGCCCTCTCAGCCAGGCTGGCTCCTGGGGCTCGAGGACACCATGGTGGGCATCTTCAGAGCATTTGATCCCTTGGTTGCCTGTGTGGATAGCTTCATGTAGGGCCCCTTGCTTTCTGTCTTCTCCAGTCTCCCTTCATTTTATCCCCATCTCCTTTATTACCTGGGCCAGACTGCTGCTCAGCTTTGCATGCAGGCATGTGAATCACTTAAGGAGCCCCAGATAACACAAGACTTATTAGCCTAAATTTACCTAGCCTATCTCATCCTCCTCCGAGACTGAAGACACCAAGATAAGAGCAATGGAGGTATTTTCAAGATTTGTAGGGACATTTAACTGTCAATTTTTATAACATGCTACCCTAGATCCCCTAGAGCAGTGCCTAGAAGTGTCTAGGCATTGCCCAAAACCTGCATTTGACACAGTCGAAGACACCATAGGCACAGAGGACAAACTCCTGGGCCTGGAACCTGTTACTCATTAAAAGCACCCATGATCTGTGTTTACTTCTGAGGCAGTCAGGGATTTAAAAGTGGTTTTTGCCTCAAAAGGGGGGGTGAGGGGAGGAATGGGATAAAGTAAAATAAAATTTATTAATTATTTTTAAAATAAAAGGGGGGTTGCTGGGGATTTAGCTCAGTGGTTCTGCCGCCTGCCTTGCAAGTGCAAGGACCCGAGTTTGATCCCTGGTACCAAAATAAAATAAATAAATAAATAAACAAATAAATAAATAAATAAAAGGGGGGACTCAAATTGGGCCTACAGATTCCCAATAGGTGACTAAAAGCAGAACAAAGCTTGACCTTCACTTTGTAAAAGTCTGGGTCGTATCCCTTCTGAGGTCTGAATAAGGCAGGTCAGTCCTTTAGGGAGTGTCTAAAAAGTTGGCAAAACAAAGTTATTAGCCCTAAATTTATCTAGCCTAGCTCATTCCTCTTCAAGACTGAGGACGTCAAGAGATTTATAGGGGCATACCCAGGCATGGTGGCACACGCTTGTAATGCCAGCACTGAGGCTGAGGCAGAAGGGTAACAATTTTTTTTTTTTTTGGTACTGGGCATCAAACTTGGGTCCTTGCACTTGCAAGGCAGGCATCGGAACCACTGAGCTAAATCCCTGGCCCGGGAGAGTAACAAATTTAAGGCCACTCTGGACTACATAGTGAGACCCTGTCTCAAAAAACCTAAATAAATACGGTTTTAAGACAGGAACCAAGAAAGGAACACAGAAAGGCCCTTGAGCCTCTCATGTGCTATGAATAAGGGACTCTGGCCTCAGAGGCTAAAGTGAAGAAGAAGTGCCCCCCACAGCAAGCCAGGCAGGAAGGAGGAGGTGCTGAGGACACCTTAGGAAGCCTTGGATTCCAGAGTGCAGCTGCAGCAGCTCTGGTGGGGCTAGGAAAAGTAGTGCTACTCTAGATCCCCCACAGAAGTGCCTAGAAGTGTGCAGGCATTGCCCAAAACCTGCAGTTGATAACAGTCCTGACTCATCAGTGCTCATGTAGCTGTGCTCATGTAATTTTGGTGGCCTCAGAAGAACACAGATTAGGTTTATGGGCAGATAACTTTATTACTGACTCTGAAAAAGGGAAAAGCATTTTTCTTTCCTGGGCTAATTCACCATGCATGAGCAGCTGGGGTGGCTATGGGTCAGGTTTATATTGGTACAGGTTACCTAACACCAGCCCTGCCTGGCAC